TTGCACGCGACGTGAATTTGTCCAACGAGGCCGTTAGGCCGAGTTTGACAACACGTCAAGTGCAATAAACACTTTTTGCACGAGTTGCATACAATATTTTTTCTACGTTCATGAAAAAAAAATGTTTTTCTACGTTCATGAAAAAAAAATGTTTTATTTAGGTGTAGAAAAATAAAAAGCGTAATTTAAGAGCAAAATATTTAATAATAATTAATTAACACTATCGGTTAACATTGAGAAAGTTAGGAACTAGTAATTAGGAATAATTTAACTTAAACATTATTTGTACCATTAATATTAAAAGTAAATGTACAATTTTTGCAATTTTCAATATTAATATTTCTTAGTGAATTATTTTTTAATTCTACTTCTTGATTTGTGACTTCTCTAAATGTACTAGTACTTGGTATCTGTACATTGTCATTTTCTTCAGCCTGAAATATTTGTTTTGCAACATTGAGTTTGTTTGCAAGTGATTGCACTACGTATCCTTCCGCTACTGTCGACGATTTCCATCCGCCGTGTCATTTGAGCTCTAGTATATTTGTTCCAGTATCTGCAAGAAGTGTTGCGGATGATCTCCTGAAGCAGTGACCCGTATATAGCTCAGGATTCTCCAAATTCAGAAATTTTGCAATTTCATACGGGATTTTAGCAAACGTGTTTACACCAATAGCTTGGACAGTGCACTTTTCATTTCGGTAATTGATAAAAAAACGTTTATGTGGAATATGACTGGGACGTAATTTCGTATATTTACGGTATATATCGATCAAATTTAATCCTTCTTCAACCTCACCTTTAATGACAAAACTTCGTTCCTTGTCAGTTTTTGAACGTGGCACTTTTACAATTAATATTGAACCTACTTCTTCTATGTCTTCAATACTCAATTTTTGGAGCTCATCTCTACGACATGCCCCTGCGATGCCAAATATTGCAGCGACCTACAAGTAATTTTAAAATGTCTTACAAAAGCTAAACAATAATTACTGAGTTACTTTTTTCATGAAATACTGGGAATCCGGAGCTTCTTTTAGAAATTTATAAATGTGTCCTCTATTAAATACTTTTGACATTTTTGACCGAAATCCTGCAGAGTTCTGCTTCATAAATGCCATTAGTTTTTTGTAATTTTTAATATTAATATCTTCTTTTGTAGAAAGGCAAGCTCTCACCATTGAGTACTCAGACCAAAGTGATGAGGGTTTAATATATTTCGATCTTTTTGAAAAATATGCAAGAAGCACATTTTCTGTAAGATTTACAACTTTTTTATCGAAGCACCACTCTTTAAAACGATTATAACTTATTTCATATAGTTTTCTTGATTTGCTAGGTAATAAGTTTAATGACGCTGTATTTGCTATTTCACTAACTTCTGGTGGGGTCCCAACAAATTCTTCTTCATCACTATCATCTATTTTTCCAATAATATCACTCATTTTTAAACTTTGTTTAAATGTCAAAATTAATTTTTGACTGACATTTCTAGAACTGCAGAGTTGCATTATCCAAATCATAGTAGTCGTGATCGCGTATGTTTGAGGCATTTACGTTTGTGTTTATAAATTGTAATCATCTGGCATTTTAGAAAAAAATGCATTTTCTAGTAATTTCGTAATCCAGTACATAATAAATATGATTGATAATAAAATAAAATCCGCAATTCTTTGAAACGTATTATAATCTCACAGAAAAAGGACTAAATATTTCGCTCATTTGAATGTTTATGTTTGTCTTGATCACAAACCGCTGTACTATAATGACAGATGAGTGCAATAAATATTTATTGCACCAGTGCAATAAAGATCCACTTTTTCTAGTAAATATAGTTCAATAAAGTTGTGTTTATTGCATGAACGTAGAAAAAAAAATTAATTGATTCCAGCGACCAAATAAAAAGTTCTGGTAATTTTTGTACTAAGACACTTAAGAATATACGATTTGCCTAAGTCGGATGGGCGCAGTTGCTTCAAAACATGAGGTTTACTTAGGAACAAGTCCACAAGTCCATCCATCGTGACATTCTCCAGATATTACAAAAAACATTTATTTCAAGAACTTTGACAATCAATAGCGGAGGAGCCAGACATTTTTTCTTAATGGAAGTTAGGTCAGATCGTCTTCTTTTGAGCCAAATAATGTCACAGTACCTTTTTGATCATGTGGTTATGGGACACGCTGTACACCCAGGGTGCCTTCTAAAGCCACGTACAGACTTGGATACAATCGATGGAAACATTGTCGGCCGAGTGTATCTTTTTTTCATCAACAATCGGCCGATTACATATGGCGATCAATAAACACAAATGTATCTCGACCACATTTAAAGTTGAAACTTTGGTGAAAATGGCATCAAATGATGATTTAATAATAACAGCGAGTGTTTGTGCGGCATACTTAATTATAAAAAATAAACTTGTTGTTTCTTCGATTTTCTTGTTACGATCCCTGTATTATTTTCAGGAGAAATTCCATAGAGCTGGAACCTGTTTTAAATTTTCTATTAAATTCAACGTATTTTCAGTTGCCCACATTTTGTAAAGTTGATTTTAAAGTAAACACTGATTCACAACCTAACCTCAAATTTCAATAAATATCCTGTGTGACAGTTAAAACGATGTATCTAGTTCTAAAACCCGTACAGACTTGCCGATGTTTTCCATTTAAAACGGAAAACAAACAACTTGACGATTCCTTTGAGAAAATGCCCCCGATGTTGTTGTTGAGTTGCCGCAAAATCGGCCGAGTCAAGAATCACAAAAAAAATACAGTTGGTCGACAATGTTTCCATCGATTGTGTCCAAGTCTGTAAGGGGCTTAACGACGACGATTCTCGCTATGTCGGTAACAACCGAACCTGTAATGGATATAATTTTGACTGCACCGAGTCGCACGTGTGTAACAATGTAACAGTGACATGAGATATTTATATTTACTGATTCATATACATGTTTTTTATAAAATACCACCCTTGTATTGAAAATGATGGATAATTTTATCAACTGTGGTGAAATCTGTTGCAAGTAGGTAGGTGATTTCAGTACAGTATGATATGATTATCAGTTACAACATAATTCGGGGGGAGATTTGGAATGGGACACTTTGTAAGACACTTTCTCTCATAATTTTGCAAGTTCATGTCGTCCGGAATTGGTACCAGATTTAAAAATCAATAGACGGTCATATTCCGCACTTAATTGTTCTTATAATTGTGTCAAAATAACCCGACATTTGTTCCCATTCTGGTATGTTGGTTTTTATATGTATTATTCCCTTGCGTTTCTTAGGAGAACTAAATTTTATTCACCATCGCCATTATTTAGAGCTTGTAACTCGAAACCTTCACTTAAAACTTTCCGTATAGAGGCTAAGTTACTCCTGTAGCAGCTGCAATACGGATTGTTAATTGTATTATATATTCATTTGGAAAAATTGTCTTAAAGTAGGTAATTATACACGTTGAATACGCTAACTTTTGACTGGGAATTAAATTCCTTTCTTTTATTTTTCACCTTCATTGATTTATTTAGTGTACAGGATAATACACTTCGTACCTGGAAAATACAGTATGCACGCAAGGTGAAAGTCATGCCGCCAATGCTTTCTACGTCTGGTGTCCAATACAGTTAATTTCAAAAAAGTGAGGTCTTCTTGGAATTCAGTCTTAACAAGTATCGTACGGACGCAGAGGATGACGACAAAATAAAACTCAGACAATTGATATTCGTTTAATTTAATTGAATTGTTAAATGTAATATATGAGTAGATACGCTACGGTGTTTTACATGTTTTCTTCTAATATATCATAACAGTAGAGTTTAAGTTGTGTTAAATAATTTCTGCGTTAGTAATTATGGACTAAAGAATTATACGTATATAGAGTGATTCATTAATAACTGTACATACGCTAACAGAATAATCCTGGGCTGAAAATATGACGAATTGACACTTAGATAGAATATGTTTCCTTTAGAAGTTACAGGATGTTTTATTTGAAAAATTTAAATGATAATATTCTTTACTCTTTACTCTTTATTTAACGACCACATTACGTACAATAAAAGTACATTTGAAGTCACTGACATATTAATGATTAATGGTTTGTGTTCGACCAGTTAAAATAATCTTGCACATAAAAGCATTTGTCCAATAGAAGGCTTTTACTTAACTTATAAAATTGATTAAAACTTAAATTAGTAACATTTACATTTATAAAACATTTGTCGAAGTGATTGTATAACTTAACATCTAACTTATTAATTTTTGTTGTGCGTAAGTATCGGCATATCTGGTGTTAGAGAAGATAATAAACTGAATTATAAAACCTAATTCAACTAATGCAATACAATCCCATGACAGAGGACACCGACATGAATAATAATAATAAGACAAATAAATTACATAATAAAATAAAAATTATTGTGCAGCCCTATGTTTAACTTTAAAAATCTCGAGAAATAATGACTTTACCGCTCTGAAAGAATAGTAGGTTAATTGCATAGAAAGTATCGAAGAATTGAAAAATATACCAAAATAAAATTTCCGCCAGTGGCGTAGAAGTTAGGAATAGGTAATTGTCCTCTACCCTGTCGTACGCCTCTGGTAGTAACCATGAACTATATTGTAGTATTTTTTGATTTGTTCTAAAGTATCTAAACTTTATGCCAAGTATGAAAGGGAAATATAAAACAGGGTTAAACTAATGAGTAAAAATTATTTAAAATGTTTTAAACAAAACACCCTGTAACTCCGTAATGAACCATATTTTTTATCTAAGTGTTATGTGCAATTTTTCATATTTTCAGCCCAGGATTATTGAGTTAGCGTGTATACAATTATTCACCCTGTGTATTTAACATATTCATTATTTCTTCATGCCGCAGATTTTACTGGAAAATTATGTGCATGGCAACAATACATACTTCGAGTGCAAGTGCACTGAAATGTTGCTCTGGGTGCTCTGTGCAAAATTAATCGATCAACTCGCTCCTGGTTCATGCTACTTTTTGTATAAAAGTATAAAAAGTATAAGCAGTTTTCATTATCTGCAATAAAAATTGTAGATTGAGATATGCATTTTTTATATTACGTAGTGCTAACTGAATTTTATTGGAAATATACATATTATAGGAGTAAATTATAAATCTTTTTAAAAATTGTGCAGTGACAAATTAATATAATTCCGATTCAAATCCGCACAAGAATATTGGATGTTTCCGAAGTAGTCTAGAACATTTCTTATATTATTATATTCTTTCTGAAACACAGGGCGTTGATATCTTTTTTGTTTTCTAATCTTAATAATTGAAACTTTATTTTTCTCTTTCCTGCGATTAAACTGCATGTTTCAGTTACAACAGGAGTTTTTCCTATAAGTTGGAGAGAGGCGAAAGTGTGCCCTATATTCAAAAGTGGCGATCGCGTTGATATCACTAATTATAGGTCGATCTATATCTTCTGTAATTTTTCTAAGATTTTTGAAATTATGTTGTATAACAGGACTTACTCTTCGGTTTCTCAACAAATATGTCCATGTCAGCATGGTATCATGAAAATGAGATCAACAACCAGCAGCCTGGCCGTTCTTTCCCAGTATGCACTGGAAGCGGTGGACAGTGGAGTTCAGTTCGATGTTATATATACCGACTTTGCAAAGGCATTTGACAGAATTAATCATAATATTCTTTTGCAAAAACTTTACAGCTTTGGTTTCAATTCTGATTCAGTCTTATTCTTACAGTCATGTTTATCCGAAAGACAATATGTTTTTTATAATGGTTACGGTTCTGTCAAGTATTTGGCGAAGTCGGGAGTACCTGAAGGTTCAAATTTGGGCACACTGTTATTTTTATTATTTCTTAATGACCTTACAACTAGTCTGAACTGTCGGAAACTAATGTATGCTGATGATTTAAAAATCTTTTCACACATTACCTCCTTAAATAACTGTGGTGTTCTTCAAGGAGAAATAGCCAAAATTGAAGCCTGATGTAATTTGAATGATTTATATCTAAATGCTAAGAAATGCAATATTATTAGCTTTACAAAGAAGAAATCACCTTATTGTTATAGTTACTTAATTATTAACATCGAAATTAATCGTTTGACTAAAATTAAAGACTTGGGAGTGATCTTCGATCAGGAATTATCTTTTTCATGTCATATCGTGTCCAAGGTCGATGATGCAATGAAGACTTACGGTTTTATACTTCGTAACTGTAAATCGTTTACTAATATCGCGTCGCTCATTATTTTGTATTTTTCGTACGTTAGAAATAAACTAGAATACTGCTCTACTGTTTGCAATCCATTCCATTTATGCCATAGATAGTTACTTGAAAAACCGCAAAGAAAATTTCTCAAATATTTATGTTTTAAGATAGATAATGTTTATCCTGAAAGAGGTACACCATATAGGCAACTGATTGATAGATTTGGATTTCAAAGTTTAGATTTGAGGAGAAAATTAAACTCAGTCACTTTTCTATACAGAGTGATTCACAACTTATCCAAAAAAGTTTGGGAATAGATGCGGCATGAGAAATGGAGTCAATATTGTAAACAAAATTTTTGTAAAATCCTTATAGTTTCCGAGAAAAAAATTATTGAAGTTGTAGTGTTTTCAACCATTACATAGCTGGACAACTGTAGTCTCTAGCGTCATTCGTAATACGCGTGGAGAGCCACGTGGCCTCAGCGACTCGGAATACTGAAATCCGATGTTTACAATAATTTTTTATTAGTTAGTGTCAAAAATGGCTTGCGTATATAACAACTCGGAGTTGATGGATATCGTTTTAGTTTATGGTGAAACAAGAAAACATTTGTATTATGGTGAAGCATTTGTGTTATAGTGAATCAAGACATCATTTGTGTTAGTTCGTAGAAACTGAGTAAGACGGACCCAAATGTATTTACACGTCGGTGTACAAAATTTTGAACAGTCGTTGTCGAATTATTTTATTATTTAAAACCACAAATGAATTTTATTAATTAATAATAACAGTAGAGGCAAAATCATTTAAGTTTGTAAAATAGGTATAAAATAGGTGCTATAAAATTCTATTTATTCTTTTCCTTGCGATAATTCTTTTAAGTTTTTGCCCGTTTTTATCACTGCCGCCATGACGGTCGCATTGTGCCAGGTCAGGTTTTACAGTGGACCAGTTTCCAGTGTCGTGCAGAAGTGTATTTTTAAATTATTTTGGAACTGCCCTTTTTGATTTTTTCTTTACAAAATTGTATTTGCAATAGTCCCCTGTACATCCAGTATTTTTTTGGATAAGTTCTGAATCACCCTGTATATGGTCATTATATATTAAATGGTCAAATTGATAGTCCTGAGCTGCTGAGTAAAATTAATTTTCATGTTCCTAGGCATAATTCTAGAAATACTGATACTTTTTATTGTTTGCGAAGAAGAACTAATCTTTTATTTAAGTCACCTGTGTATAATATATTCAACTTATTTAATATGATGTCGCATCTCTGTTATATAAATCATACCAGCTTAAAATCTATTTTATTAATCATTTCAGGTACTGTAAATGAAGATTTCTGTTAGTTATATAAGTTAATCCGTTTATTTGTTTTCTATTTATTAGTCATTATTACTTTACCTATTGTTCTATATGTAATTGTCCTATTATTGGTCTTGACTGTTGGGCAATAAAGCACTATTATTATTATTATTATTATTATTATTATTATTATTATTATTATTATTATTATTAAGAAGATAGTATTCAATTGAATAAAAATAATAGGTTGGCCACTGATAGTTTCAGATTTGTGGGGGAAAATGGAATGCTTTATTAAAAATAAAAAATATATTTCAATATCCATAACTTGTTTTAAGAATTAATAGCTAAATTACTAAAAAAGAACGCCATTAGGCATGATGCAAACGTCTACTTGTCGACTAATTGGTTCCCTAACCCGGTCCAACAACAACTGAATAATGTTACAATAATCTACTGTTCCATTCTGGCGCTCTTCTATGGTTTGCCCCAAAAACAGAAATCCAAATGATTTAAGTCTAGGGACTAGAGCGGTCAAAGTTGCAGAATTCTTCGCCAGGTCCATTGATTTGGATATTTATTATTAAGGTATTCCTGAACAGTTAGACTAAAATTGAGGAGATACCCCATCACTTGTAAATCAAGAAGGAATGTCTCGTTGGCAAAGCCAAACCTTACAGAATGTAACATAGTACATTAATAATAAAATGTTTATAGCGATCACCATTCAGTTAAAATATGACCATTATAAAATACTAAAGAAACACCCTGTAGCATGTTTCAGAATATACAGGGTCGCTGATATGTATGAAAACCGTCGATTGTCTCCTAAAGTAAGATATCTATCGAAAAAACATGAGACACAAACGTTTTTTATTCCATATTTCAATTCTTCTCGAAATGCTAAACAAAATCCACATAGAACCTCATGTACCTAAACTTAACCGTTTTGGAGATATTGAACTATTGATATTGAAAATAATTTTCTTATAAATTATACAAAAATATTTTAGTCCATTATTTTTATACTCCATCACCTTTGAAACCTTTGAAAGTTTCTAGCTCCATAACAACGCCGCGTTGTTCTTTTGTCTAATAGTGATTATCTTGATAACACATGTCAAAAATACATTTTTTAGCGTGAATAATTTTCTCGCAAAAACGGCACATTTAAGTAAACCTCAGCGTTTTGAAGTTTTAATGATGACAGGATATGGTGAAGATGAAGTTGTGACCAAGTAGTGGATATTTTTCATGAATTGAATCCCGATCGGGAACGTATTTATAAATGAAACATTGCAGCGTTTTCATTAAACTGGAGGTGTTACAGAACGACAAAAAAGTGTACCAGAAACCGATACAATCGACGAAAATTATTTGAAGTCATGTTACATGTGGTGGAAAAACAAATAAATTAAATAAACATGAGTCAATTTTCCAATTAAAAAATTTGCAAACGGGAACAATTACATCCATATAAAATTCGTTTGTTATAAGAATTGAGTGAAGACGATTATGATCGTATAATCGAGTTCTGCGAAGTTATGGATTGTTTTCTGACGAATCAACATTTTGTTTAAACGGGCGCGTAAACCAACACAACTGTAGGAATTGGTAAGACCAAAATCCACATTGGATGGAAGAAGTTCACACTCAACGACCACAGAAAGTAAATATTTCCAGTGGCATTCTTGGTGGACAGGACATAGGACCCTATTTTATAAACGGACACTGAAAGAAATGCGTTTTATTCTATATGCCATTATAAGACCATTGTATACTATATGTGACAGTTAAACAGGCGAATATTGGATATAAAACGCGTATTGCTAGCACAGTTGTATAGTGACTATAAACCTTATTCTTTATTAAATTATTGTATAACTAGTATACAACGTTTTTTATACCCTTTACGAAATAATAGCAATAACTGTTATTAAAGTGTACTATATCGTTATTAGAACATCTAGTACTGGTTATAAGTTTTATAATAATACACTTATTAAACTGTTGTATACTCTGTATGAGTTAAAAACATAGGAGATTAAGTTTTCAGAAATTTTATTGGATAACTGTAATTACAAGCTAAGGTTCTAATGTAAACATACATAAAACATACTTTTAAGCATTAAAAATGATGACAAATCGCTCCCAAAACTGTCCAGTTTATTTTCTTAGCAACGATGTACCCGTATTTTCTTGTATTACATGAAAATTTGCACTATAACTCTTCCACCTTAAGAATGAAGCATCCCCTGAAAGGTTAAGCTTCTATCCATCTAATTTTATTTCCTCTGGTTGATTGACTTTATACCCATGCTCTTCTTTGTCACCGCGTTAACCTTCTGTTCATCCATCTTATGTCAAACTTAACATCAGCGATTTCTAATAGGACCTACAAAATAATAATTTTTAAGATTTAGACAAGATTTACATTTGAAAAACAAAACAATTGCAAGCCATAAAACAGTTAGGTACTTACATAATAATTTTCCATTTCACACAACGCGATATGATCATGTATCCCACAAAACATGTGCACATACTGCCCATTTTCATGAAACTAGACGTGTAATAGTCGTAAGTCGATGCACAGCGGATTGTCGGAAATTTTACGATCATAACCGATTTATACACCGAGAGGTGCCGATCACTTAACCATTATAAGACGCGTTTTACATGTTAAAAACGGAAACATATTCGGTATAAGAACGAATAATTCTGTTAATATAATTGTTATATACAAATTCTGATGCTGGTCTTTATACAACAAATCTTCCATACTATACAATTGGAACATAAAGTCTATAACACCTGATAATGTATAAGTAATTCATTATAATCTTTATTTCATAGATGCATAAGGTGTGCACCTTCCAGTTAAACTCATTGAATAAGGAGTATGGAGATGATTGCTTTTTTTAATAAAAGTTGTATATTAGTTATAAAAGTTTTAATATGCGCTATACACATTATTCTAGATAAACAGTTTAATAAGCCCATTTCTTTCAGTGGAAATTTGACCTGTGAACATATTATTCCCGAACTAACAATTCCAATTTACCAAACAAATATGGTTTGTGTCTTATGATTTTTCGGTAGTTTTGTAGTCTTGATTTAGAAAATAATAGACGCTTTCCATACATATCAACGACCTTGTATAAGACAGAACAATCCAAATATCTGCTTTGGTTTTTAGAATTTTAGAAGTATATTCAAAGAGTTTTAACAACTATTGATGTGTTTTACTTACTAGTAGAACAGTTCTATTATTAATGATGTGATAATTTGCAGCCCTTATAGAAACACCTTCCTGACTCCTTATCATCATAATCAGGAAATCGTTTCGCAAATGTCCCAATTCCGGTAGGCACCATTTGCACTCAGAATATATAGCCTCTGCTGTTGCTTCTGACTAAAAATAATTATAAAGGGTGTTTCTTTAGTATTGCGCAAAACTTTAGCAATTCCTTGCCAAAAATTACGAGGGAATTTTCCATATAAATTTATATCCCAAAACATCGTTTTTGTGAGAAATTAAATAAAAACTGAATTTTACCCCTTGAAAGGGGTGTAACTTCGATAACAGTCGTTTTTGAAAAGTTTATGTAGAAGAGTGCCCTACTTTTTCGCAATATTAAAGAAACACTCTAAATAATATGTGACTATGTCTAATTGCTTATAGTATTCTTTTAATGCATACCTGATCCATCATTAGTTGCGCGGGAAAGCCATATACCAAAAAAGATTCTGTGAGTACACACAATATTGTTGCAAACATTCTAATTTGATCCGATAAAACCGATTCGCTGAAAAAGATTATTTATAACAAAAATCCTTGAGGCGGATGAAAATATGTTTGCAATTTATAGTAATTCTAACCCTTTCTTTAATTGTCTCTAAAATCCCGGTCTGATACGTCCAATAGCAAATTAACATTAACAAAAACTATCTTGGGAACAAAGAGGCGTAGGTTCTTTTTTTTAATTATTTATCGTAAAATTAAGTTCTGTTTAATGCAAAAAGAGCGAATTCCCGAGAGACTTTTGCCTGACCATGGGACAATTTGTTTATAACGCTGTTTTGCACGTCCTACTGTGTTAGTTATAAAGGGCTACTTAATTTTAACTTTTTGAAGATTTTCTTTTTCGATACGTTTGTTTGGAGCAATTAGAACCTATATCTACGATATTAACTTCTAAAACTAACGTTTAGTAATTAAACAATTAGTTGCAAAAAAACAAACGAAATTAATTAAGGAGCAACGATTTCACGGTCAATCGAATCGGCCTTTGCACACATTTTGGTCTTTGGATCGACTGTCTTTTCCATAAATTTCACCAAAATCCATCGCTTTTTGCAATAATAATGCGCAATGTTCGAAAACTGATAGTTTCGCGTTTGACCTTTATTTTACAAATAAAGGTCAAACGCGTCAAAATAATTAACAAATTAGTGAATAATGATCTTAGATAATTTAAATGTCTAGAACAAGGTCGACAACTGGCGGACCGCGGTCCAGATCCGGACCGCGGAAGGTAAAATACTGGACCGTCAAAAATTTTTTGAAAGTATAAATTACTCAAATAAATTATTTAAAAAATGATTTTTACGTTAAAATGCCAATCTTATCATTTTTTCTAGTATTTTACAATTGTGTGAGTGTGTGAGTTCTTAATGGTTAGTAAGCAGATTAAATTTGAGTCTAAATTAAAATAAAAAAAATAATATGAATTTGTTTTTGGACCTCGTTAAAAATTTTCAAAAGTATCCGGACCCCACCTAAAATTACTTGCCGACATAGAATACTAGAACATAAAATAACTAATATTCCGATAGGTCGTCTAGATATTCATGAACAGTAAAAAAAGTGAGGAACACGTAAATTTGCCAAATATTTGCAATTTGCCAACTTACCGCCACTGTTTTCGAGTTACATTTTTGATATTATCATTCTACATATCCTTCTCCATTATAAAATGCAATAAAATGTGTAAGTACTAATATTTTTTTCAACTTTTCAAGTTTTATGATCTAATGAGTATGTGCAATTTGCTGAAAATTATATTTCATGAATAGTAATCAATCTATTTAAAAAAAATTCATTTATTTCTTTAAAAACATTGTTTTATTTTAAAATTGCATTGAAGAAATCTTTATTACCGATGATACCATAATTTCTGTTATATAATTAATTTCTTCGTACATGAACACATATTTTTCACTTCTAACGAATATATATGTTTGGTTCAATCCAGTCCTGCTGCATCGAAGATTGTTTAAAATCTTATAATATATTATTTGTTCCCAGCAAATTATATTTGTTAGATTATATTCAGAACCAGCGTTTTGTTTACTGTAAAAGTAATTTATTGACAATAAACTACCTCCATTGTATATTACGTTTGTTAAGTATATTAAAAATGCCATAGTAAGATAGGATTAAATAGATTTATGATAAAAAATTTACTATCAAGGACTTTCCTGGAAGTGTTCTAGAATTCCGTATTTTATGAAAACTTGCAAAACAATGCCTTCAAAACAATGTCATCAAAATTTAATAATTATTTTTTCTTTTTTATTTGCAAGTTTACTTAAATAAATATGGTTTTTACAACTATTATTATATAAATTTACATGTATGTTCCTTTTTTTTACTAAAAAAATTCAAGATTTTTTATATGTTACTGTTTTTTTTTAATTTTTAAATTTACTGCAGGATGCTTATGTAATCTTTACTGTGAAATAGTGTACTGAAATGCCAATGTAATCTTTTTGCTAGAGAATTAGATAATTAATTATAGTTATTACTACTACAATTCTGATAACTAAAAGTCCAGTGATGTGATTTTTGTTCAATTATTTCTAAAAATTAAACTCAGTCTTTTACACTGTTTCATACTAAAAATACTTACGTTATTGTTGTATTATACATAATTATACATATCATGGAAATGTTAGTCACCATCAACAGCGCAAATGGCACACTTAATATTGCATTCAAATCGTCGACGTACCTGAAAAAAACTGAATTATTTTTTAGAAATGAAACAGAAAATATTGAAAAAACTTTTCAGAAGCTTCAGGCGATGCATTTTACACTTTTCTATGAAAAAATCGCAGAGTAAAAAAGTTCGCTTATTCCGTCTTTTTATGACTAACTTTCCTGGACTATTATTAATCGCTTATATGAAGCAGTTTGTGGGATATCACACCAAGAAATTAAAATTGCTCAGCAAAGACGAAATATACAAATTTGTAAAAGAATCAATGACTAATACACATTTAATAATGAATTTAATCTTAATACATTTCATTTTTTTTGTAATTATAGTGTGACTGACTAATAGTAACACTTTTTAGCATTGTTGGTGAATACAGATGAGGTAAGTCTCAGAAAATGATCGTTGAGGATTTGGGAGATATAAAAATATGGTTGAAATTTATAGGAGATACGCCACCCTTAGGTTACCAAGCACAAGATCACCATAAAGGGGAGAATTAAAAGAAAAGTTCAGCCGTATGTATTGATAGATCTGGGAAAAGTTAAGCGAAGCTACTAGATATCTTGGGTTGTCCAATCCACATGAGTATAACGTAGCTTTAGACGATGCCAGGAAAGATGTTTTAATATTGAAGAGGCATGATAGCAGGAAGCACTGGCAGACCATTGCCTTTTCAGAATTACTCGAAACCATTTCTTTTTCAATTAAGCACAAGACAATAGGGGGAAACAATATGGCGACTTTTGCCACGGCATATTGTTTATGTCACCGTAGAAACGAAAAAGGGTAACATTTATCTAGTAAAGGTTGGGCAAGTTAGGATGATTTTATTATTGTTAATGATAGAGAGACAGTTGTCATGAAAACAAACATCAAACCAACTTTAAGCGCTACAGTGGTGTAAGGGTTTTAAAGGATCATTATTAAATATCTAACAAATATTAAAAAAAAATGTACATCTGTAAATAAAGGATTGTGGTACCGGGGTGTTACCGCACTCGATTGATTGCAAAACTCGCCATTGGTTCGTTTCGCAATCTTCATTCGTTCGGCAAAAATCTAGTTACGAGACTTATTATGTGCACAAGCCCTTATAAAAGCTATTTTTTACACTGAAAAATTTCATGCATCCTATTCCAAACATTGGTAAACAGTGAGTTAATTTAAAATGAATGAGACTAACCTCATAAGTAACTGTTGATGTTTGATTATCTTCTTCATGTTTCGAACATACACTTCAACATCCTGGCTATTTTCAATATCCTTAAGATTGAGATCCCTAATCTTCAAATTTACGAGTCTAAATTGAACAGTAGCCAAAATTATGAGAGAACATACAAATATAGTTAAAGAAATAAAGAGAAGCCCGCTATATATACAGACGTAAACTTCGGCGATATAAAATAATGGAAAGGGTATATGAAAAGGTATAAAACAGTTAAACACAGAAGAGTTTATCGAAAGTAAGGGGGGCACTATATATGCAGATACGGCGAGAATTACGAAACTTTTATACCACCTTTCTATAGCTTTCATATATTTAATTAAATACGTTATTTTGTCATCTACAATATCGACTTCCCAAAATTGTTCCTTGGATTCCAAAATTTGTTTTATGGTTTTTGTACCTAAAGCAAGCGCCAAATATTTAATAAATATCTGTAAAAAGAATATATATATATTAATGTTGTAATATTTATAAATATACAGAAACTGAACTTACTATAATAAGTGCATTTATAGGTTCTATATTTTGTAGATTTCTATCGAGGTAACACTTGTAAAGAGATAGGGACATAATCCATACTGCTAATAAGTTGTTGAAAGTCACAAGCCATATTCTTATAGGGCGGTTAGGATCTACGCCGAGAAAGGGAAATGCTTTCAAACAGAAAGTACTTTCCATTTTGCAGCGCGTGCTGTTATCAGAATGAAGCTAATGGCGTTCACCAAATGGCCTGTACGTTACAACGATTACGCATTTAAAGACGACGGCCATTTAAAATCAACGCCCATCTATTCAAAGATTTATGTAAACTGTAACTGCAACATTAAATATTGATCCAAATGGAATAATTGAAATACTGAAGTATATATATTACACTAAAGTCTTTTTTTATTATTTTAACTATTTATACCATACTTAATATTCAAGCTACCACACAGTTCATAATTATTGTCGATTTTCACCACTTCACTTCGGAAATTACTTCTAAATGCATTTTTACCGTGATTTACATGTATTGCCTGCGGTGCTGGGAGTTTCGTCTCCTGCTCATCGATAAAGGGGCCAGTCAAGATGTTTAGACGCCTCTCTTATCACGCCAAACCTCAACGATTACTTGGCGGCATGAACGTTGCTCTGACTGAAATAAAAATGTAGTTTCTTCAAATGTGTTTTTAAAAAACTACTGTTTCACTTATTATAATTTATTTATTCACTCAAAAGACAATTTTATACCAGAGGTGAGTTCTTTCGAGAGCAGTGTTTTACTAAGTGCTAAGAGATGAACTAACTGAAGGAGTGCAGTTGGTTTTGTTAGGGTAGGCCTATGACTTCAGTCGTTATCGGTACCTGACTAATTATCTAGACGGTGGAGCTTCTAGGCGTTTGTTGTGTCCTTAGAATCATCACCGCAGGATTGCATAATGTCTAAGTAGATAGGGCGCTACATCTGAGGTCTAGACTGGAAACGATGTGCCTGTAAAAATATCTAAGAAATTTTTTTAATAAAGTTTATTGACCTACAGGATTTTATACAACGCAAAATGGCAATAATTTAAAACATACTGCATATACTGGTCAGGTTGCGTTTCTGGTTATTAAACTGGAAGGCATCAGGATTGACATTCCTTCATACTCCTCGATGGGTCCGCATAAATGATTAGAAGCCACGTGACCGGTACGTAATTTTGTTTGGAACAGAAATGTTATTTCCTTCATGTTGGCATTAAATTTCGGTAAAATTAAATCAATAACATCAAGATTACATTAAAACGCAACATTCTTACTTTAATAAACAAGGTGTTAGTAAATAAGTGCGACAAATTTCAGGGGGTGATTCTACATGAGAAAATAATGGCAGTTTGCTTATAAACTATGTCCGCAAATGATTCATTTTCCGAGATACGGGGTGTCAAAGTTTTTCTTAAAAACTGACGATTTAATTTATTGCTCTGAAACTGGTCGAGATGTGCAAATTAAATTTGGTGGATTTTAAGAGGTAGTTATTGCGTATTTATTGACACGCAATTAAGAATTCTATGTTCATCATTGGCGCGCGTACGGGTAATAATCACAATTTTTTTAAAGGAAAAAAAAATGGTACGCCACTGAGATATTACAAATTGAAATCATTTTTGAATTCCTCGTTCAATTTGTGACAAAAAATCTCTCTTGCCTTTTCTTTGTATGGGGAGCCGTTTTTATGAAAAAATAATGCATCTTAACGCGTATTTTTTATTTCTTTAATACATTTTCAAGAACTATCTAATACAATAACATTAAACCAGAACAATAACAGAAAATAACACTAATAATATTTTGAAAAGGCGCAAAGCTACAACAAATGTTCAAAATGACCTCCCTCAGACGTGACACAAGATTCAACTCTTCGCCTCATTGATTGTCGTATTCGCGCAAATATTCCTGGTATATTTCTTATTGTCTCACAGCCGACTATAATTCGATTCCTCAGGTCATCAACATTTTCAACGGGAGTGGAATAAACTAATGACTTAAGAAAACCCCAAATGCAAAAATCAAGAGGATTTAAATCCGGCGATCGAGCAGGCCAATGTTCCGTACCTCCCCTACCTATCCAACGATTTGGATATGCTGTGTCTAAGTGATTACGTACATTAATGCTAAAATGGGCTGCTGCACCATCATGCTTGTACCATAGGTGTTGTCTCAGCTGTAGAGGAATTTCTTCAAGAAGAACAGGTAACTCTTCCTGTAGGAAATTAAGATAAGATTCGCCTGTTAGTCGTTGTGGGAGGAAATATGGACCGATTAAATGATCATCAATTACCCCAAGCCATACATTTACGGAAAATTGATGCTGAAAATGTGCTTCAAAGATTCCATGGGGGTTTTCCTCAGCCCATAAGTGATTGTTATGGAAATTTCGTATACACTGTCGTCCAAAAGTAGCCTCGACAGAAAACAAAACGGCATTTAAAAAATTTGAAATTTGAGCGATTTGATGATTAATCCATTGGCAAAAAAATAGGCGCGGAAAAAAATCTCTAGGTAGTAGAGCTTGCATTCAATATCTTCGGATACAATTACTCTTCTTTAAGAATTTTAAATACAGTGAAGTTGCTTACATTCAATATGTTGGCAATTTTTCCAGTACTTCTTTCAGGTGACTCCGCAATTAACTCGAGAACTGCTTCTTCTAGTTGCACAGTTCGTATTTCTCGAGGGCGCCCATAGTCAACCGTTTGTTTCTAAAATGAACCATTTTCGCGCAAACGTTGATGAAGACGAGCAAATATTGTGTGATGAGGTACCCTACGTCCTGGATACAACTCAGCATACAATCGTCGAGCTTGCCAACCATTTCCATTACTTCGACCAAAGACAAAATGCATGTCTGACAATTCCGCATTTGTAAAATTTTCCATTCTTTTCGATGAAAGAAAAATTAATTACTTATTAACACTAATGTTATAGCAAACTAAAAGCTTAATAAATTAATAATGACGAAACGCTAATTTGACATTTCTTAAAAATATTCGTATTTAACAAACAAATGTTGACAATAGCCTACTAGGTAATGTAATAAAGAAATAAAAAATACGCGTTAAGATATTTTATTTTTTTGCATCAAAACGGCGCCCCATACGAAGAAAAGGCAAGAGAGATTTTTTGTCACAAATTGAACGAGGAATGCAAAAATGATTTTAATTTGTAATATCCCAGTGGCGTACCATTTTTTTTTAAAAATTGAGATTATTACCCGTACGTGCGCCAATGATGAACATAAAATTCTTAATTGCATGTCAAAAAAATGCGGCATAACTTTCTCTTAAAACACACCAAATTTCATTTGCACATCTCGACCGGTTTCAGATCAATAAATTAAATCATCAGTTTTTAAGACAAACTTTGACACCCCGTACCTTGGAAAACGAATCATTTGCGGACATATGTTTATAAGCAAACTGCCATTATTTTCTCATGTAGAATCACCCCCTGAAATTTGTCGCACTTATTTACTAACACCCTGTATATATGAGATTGTTTCTTTATACAGGTATATTGTTTCCTGATAATGAAACGAGTAAACAAGTAAAAGATGTAACGAAGTGCTACCATCTAGTGGCCACTGCTACTAACTGCGTTCATAGTACCTACAGTACAGGTCACTGTTTGCCATTTTTGGCCTCTTTCTAGATCTCAGGTAGTTAGTGGCAGTGGCCACTAGCAGTAGCAGTAGCATTAGTTACAGCTTTTAGTAATACCTACTTCTTTAATGGATTTAAGGAATCAAAGCAGTTGAATCGTTCGTGGATTGTTGTATCTATGGCATGCTGATGAGGCTTAACAAGTCCTAAACCGGTATATGTCTGGTGTTCCTAAATAAGGGTTGACAACGGGGTCCCATAGGGTACACCCGCAGGAATGCGTACCGCTGATTTTTGCAAAACAAAAATCCTGTTAATTGAATTATAATTACCCCACAATATTATCCCATAACTTAAGTGGCTACGAACTATGGCAAAGGACACTGATCTCAAAATATCCTCTGAGAGAGAATGTTGAAGCAACCGCATACAAAAAATTTGCGACGACAGCCTTGAGCAAAGTCTGTCTACTTGTGTTGATCAACTTAAATTAGTGTCAAAATAAATTCCTAAAGTAATTTAGCAATAGCTTTTTCAGCTCCTTTATCAAAAATAAATAAAAAATTCTGTTATTGTTATCTTGTTATTGTTTAATTTTTAATAGATTTAAAAGGGAAATCGTTAATATAAACGATAAACAGAATTGGACCTAAAACAGAGCCTTGAGGAACTCATTTATTTATGGGGAGTAGACTCATGATCGTTCATGCTAACATATTGTTGTCTGTGGGATAAGTAAGAAGGTAGCAAATTTAGTGTATTACCTCTATATTCTAACTTGTTTGGCAAGATATTAACGTCAACATAATCGATATTACTGGTGAAATCCACTGCTAGGCGGAGCTATAGCTGGTAGAGTAGGTTCCCTTTAATGTCATCACTTAAAAAGATGGAATTATAGGAGAAACTAGTAGAAAGAGGAAAGAAAAATAAAGATTTATTGTATTGAATTAAAAAGGACCCTAATTTACTCAGTCTATGTATGTTTTGTTATGTATCTCCACAAAGAATTTATTTATTAGAAATAACACTAGAGTCGTCCTTACGACACATGATTTTTTTATTACACTTTTTAGTAAAAAAATTATATTAAAATTAGGTACGTGTTATTTCTTTGTAAATAGCATTTTCACATTTTTTAAACAATTTCGATTTTTTTTTACTTTCTTTGAATATTTTTTCCAAAGGTGATAACGATGAAATAAAACAAATAATGTGATATACAAGTATATTACGGTACATTAATATATAGTGTTATATGTATTTTATAGAACACACAACGTATACAGGGTGTTTCAGAAAGGCCTTCCGTAAATACAGGGGGGTGATAGTGTGATAAAAAATAAGAATTGTTGTCTTATGAACTATATGTCTATTTCCTCTTGTTTTCGAGATACAGAGCAACAAAATAAATTTTTTTAAACAGAATTTTGACGAAAATTTCCAAGTGCGAAATATTTTTATGATGTTTGATATTCTGGGATTTTTAAAGCTGCCAAATACGCTGGTCTAATTATTTTTTATGAAACTGTACCTGGTCGTCAAGGTCAGCGTTACTATTCTCCATGTCAAATTAGAAAAAATGTATAACGGGTTCCCGACATAATATGTCCGAAAATGGTTTTAACTTTTTCAAGTTCAGCTCACTTTATTTGGGCAAGGAAGCATTTTTCGACCAAATGTTCTTTGAACTACTCTTGATTTCATTGTAAAATCTATTGGAGACGAAAATCCTGGATATATATTTGCATTTAGTAGTTCAAGGAAATTGTATAAAATATTTCCAAACTGCCATCTTAAATTGTCAGTTGTAAAACCTGTCCTTTCCACCAGTTTCTAGCTCCCATAGTTTTCTGTATAGCAATATAAATATTAAGTTGCTGTGCACTAAACTGTTGCTCTGAGTGCTCTGTGCAAACATCAATCAATAAATTCCCTGTTTTAAGTTACATTTTGTAAGAAAGCATAAAAGCTATAAGCAGTTTTCACCATCTGTAAAGAAAATTATATATTAACAAACGCAGTGTTATCATTACTTGTAGCTACTTTAAAATAGGGTGTCATCGAAGGTGGTATAACGACGTGATGCTTGTGCAGCCTTTTGCTGACATTCACCGTAGATTAACACGGTACTACAAACACAAAGGTGATTTGCAAACGACAGCTAAAAGAAAAACCCCAATTTCAATAACATGATGTGTTTTTGACTTTGTCCTTTTTTGAAGTTTATCAGTACAAAAGAATAATTATAGGTATTTGAAAAGTTTTTACAACTAATATTTACTTACCAGTAGAACAGTTCCGTTATTAATAACGTGGTAGTTTCCAGCCCTTATACAAACACCTCTCTGGTTCCGGGTCATCATAATCAAAAAATGACATCGCAGACACCGTAATTTCGGTAAGTACCATTTGCACTCGGAATATATAGTGTCTGCTGTTGCTGTTGACTGAGAAATAATTACATTTTATGAGATTATCCTAAATTATTCACAACATTCGTTTAATACAAACCTCGTCCATCAATATTTGGGCGGGTAGGCCATATGCCAAAAAGAACTCTGCGATTACAGATAAGATTGTTACAATCGTTCTACCTTTGTCAGATATAGATCCTTGGCTGAAATTCAACGAAATTAATAGTTAAAAATCATAGCTGAATTAAGAGTCTGCAGAGAATGTTTCGGACGGGCGCTCACATATGTTCTTAACCTACACAGGGTGCTTTAAAAATAAGTGCCGAAATGTTAACCATGTATCTATAGACTGTTTGGAAATGAGAAAGAGTAATAAAATCCCGAGATAAGAACCGGCCATGGGCGTGGTAATATTTCGTTTCAGGTAATTATCGGGTAACACTAATCCTAACAAAAATGACAGGGATTGGAAAATCGACTATCTACAGACTTCTAAAGGAAACAAAAAATTAACAAGATACTGTAAATCCCCCAAAATCATCTACAGGGAGGTCAAAAGTCGTTATAGATGATTTCTTCAAAAATGTCATTCGCAGAAAAGTACACTCATTTTATTTTAAAAAAGAAATACCAACGCTAAACAAAATTTTAAGTGAACTTTCAGAGGACAACGATTTGCCAAAAATCAGTAGAAGCAAATTATGGGCCGTCTTACGAGAGTTGAATTTTTGCTGGGAAAAGCAGAACAGGAAGTCAGTTCTTATCGATAAAGATGAAATTATTTGTTGGCGAAGATCCTACTTAAGATCAATTAGAAAATTCCGTGACGAAGGGAGGAATATTTATTATCTAGACGAAACTTGGGTCAACGAGGGATATACTGTAACAAAAGTATGGCAAGATAAAAATGTAAAAAGTTTTCGACAAGCATTTTTGGATGGACTTTCAACAGGGTTCAAGGCACCTTCAGGTAAAGGGCGAAGATTAATAGTGACACATATAGGTAGTGCCAGTGGTTTTGTAGATGGCGGTTTACTTTTATTTGAATCTAAAAATACAGGTGACTATCACGAAGACATGAACGCAGATGTTTTCGAAGAGTATTTTACACAGATGTTGGATCTTATTCCTCCGGGGTCTGTAATTGTCATGGATAATGCCAGTTACCATTCACGGCAGACCGAGCGGACGCCTACGACTGCTTGGAGGAAAGCCGATATAATTCAATGGTTATCCGGAAAAAACATTTCTTTTGAAACAAATATGGTGAAAAAGGAACTTTTGACACTTGTCAATCTTAATAAAGATCAGAAAAAATATGTTATCGATGAAATGGCAACAAATCGCCAAATAACGGTACTACGGTTACCACCTTATCACTGTGAACTTAACCCAATCGAATTAGTCTGGGCGCAGGTAAAAGGAGATGTAGCGCGAAATAATACGACGTTTAAATTAAGTGACGTGAAAATTTTGTTAAAAAATTCCTTGGAACGAGTAACTGCAGATAACTGGCAAAGATGTATACATCATGTACAAAAAGAAGAGGAGAAAATGTGGGAACTCGATAATTTAATTGACGTTACTGTGGAACCTATCGTTATCAATCTAGGAGACGAAGATAATTCATCAGAATATTCAGAGGATGAATTTTAATATACCTACTTTTTTATTTTCTTTATTGTACATTTATACAACACTACATTTACTCACCATAATTTGAATTTTCAAAATACATATATTTTTGTGTGGAATAAAAGTCTATTCATTAAATTTAAATAAATATTTTGATAATAATATTGAATAATTTTATTTGAATTACTAAAAACCCTCTTAACCCGGTTATGATGCTTAAAGTAGCCTCATGTTTTGAAATGCTGTTTTTATATTGTTTACTTATAAGAGAAATGGACCGAGAAATTGAAGCGGCATAGACAAAGACGGATTGTCGGGGATTAAATTTTAGCTACCTGCTACAATTTAGTACAACCCGGTCACACAAAGTTTTTTTAAAAGTACACCTCATCTATACCGATAATACATAATATAAAAATATTGAATATAAGCACCAGTACTACATTTATTTACGATTTGCATACATAATAAGCTTTTATTACTCTCTTTCATTTCTAAACAGACTTTAACTCATCAAAAGCAACATCTCTTGTCCAATATTTTTTGGACACATTAAAATAGCCCTAACGAGTTGCCTATGAATGAATTAAAGGAATATTGAAATAAATGTTCTATATTCACTATCCTAATTCTTTTAAAAATTCAAATTATAAAAATGAAGTTATCTTATAAATTAAAAAAATTATTAGCCAAAAGTTGTTTGTTGTATCGATTTAAGGTACTTTAAAACACGCCTATAATGTTAGCACTTATTTCTGAGACACAGTTCTTATGCAAGTTCACACCATGATCATCATCATAATATTTATAAAGTATCATAGGACATTTTTGAGGATATATATGTTTGTAAAAATAATAATAATAATATATATATATATATATATATATATATTATTATTATTATTTTTACAAACATATATATCCTCAAAAATGTCCTATGATACTTTATAAATATTATGATGATGATCATGGTGTGAACTTGCATAAGAACTGTGTCTCAGAAATAAGTGCTAACATTATAGGCGTGTTTTAAAGNTATATATACTGGTGAGAATTACAAAATGAAAAGAATTTAAAAAAGTCGGCAGAGTATATAGCAAAAAGCAATGGTTTCAGTATACTTCTTTGTGGTACACTGTAATGAAAAGTATGGTCAAATTCCTTGAACTTTCCATGGTAACCTGTTGCCGTGAAATGTTCAAGTAAAATTCATATATATAATCAATATATATTTTAAAGGTTTTATTTAATATTACATGGGATTTACTTAATCATTCCATGGCAACATGTTACCATTTTACAAGTTCAAGGAATTTTACCAAACTCTTTGTTACAGTGTACACCTCTATTCAGTGTACTATAATCTGAAAATGAATTACCAAAAGTAACTCTTTGTTTGCGAAAATTTAAGTAACTGACCATAAATTTTAACGCATTATCATCTAGACCAAAGTATTTTAGCTTCAAAAAAAGAATCCTGTGATGTAATGTGTCGAAAGATTTACTATAATCCAATAGTACTAAGCATGTATTTAATTTATTTTCTAAAGCTCTAATTATATCATCCGTAACGTGTAACAATGCCATTGAGGTGTTTTAATAAGTTGTTTATACACAATCCTCTCCAATACTTTGAATATAGGCAGAATAATGATAGGTCGAAATTGATTTATTTGGGTGGGATTATTTACTTTAGGTATAGGTACAATACCTGCATATTTCCAAAGTGATGGGAACTTAGCTAATAGAAGACTACTGTTGATAATGTGAGGAATAGAACCAATAAGAGTGGGTGCAATTAAGAAAATCATTTTGAGACTTATGTCATCCGTGCCAATAACATTTGATTTAATCTGCCACAATATCTTTTCCACAGATTCTTCTCTTACTGTTGTAAATTGAAATTTATATGTAATATTTGCAAAAATTTGATTAATGTTCATATTAGTAACAAAATCATGATTATTGGAATTTACAGAAGATATACTCTATTAACAAGGACGATTAAAAAACAATGGATCGCTAATATCACCCGGGTAAATATATGGAGTTGACTTTATATTTAAATATCGTAAAGTACGCCAGAATCCCTTTGGATCATCAGCAAACTTATGTTGTAGATAAGCCCTTTTTTCATTTCTCATCACCGCACCATCGTGACAAATTTTCTAAGATCTTTATATTCCATGCCAGGCTTGTTCCTTTCTTTTTTTTTCTTAAATTTTGTAAGAGCCTTATTTCGTAATTTCATCTTAAGTTTAATATTGTCAGTGAACCAAGAGGCCGATAATTTTGTAAATCCAGACGTTTTAAAGCATGAGCATCAAAGACTAATTTTAATTTATTATTAAAAAAAATTACTTTTTTATCCACATCCATTAAATTATATAAGTAGGTAATTCCAATTTATATTCATCAAGTCTCGCATAAAATTATTGTAATTAAAACTGGAGTAATCACGATATGTACGAAAAGTTACTCGAGGTTTCACTTTCTTAACATTTAAATTTCAAATTGCTATGCAATGGTCAGATACAGGGTGTCCCACGGTGACGAGACATTAGACATTTTTCAGAGAGTACTTCGATATTAATTTTGAAAATTTTATTTTATTTATTACTTTAAATGGAACACTCTATATAATAAAGAACTCATAAAGTTCTTTCTTCTTAAAATTAACCGTTTCTGATATATTTAATTTTAAAAAAAAAATAAAATAAAAAAGCACTGCCTAATTCAAAAAGATATGTATTTTACAATAATAAAGTTAAATCCATAACATATATATGGGAAATAACTAAAACTCTAAGCTTCCCTGCCATAATTTCAAAATGACTTAATTTCATACAGGGTGGTAGAAATTTAATGCCGAATTTAGTCAACTTTAAACCATCTTATTTCTTTATTGTTAAAGAATGGAAAACGTTAACTTTTATTCAAATTCTGACATTCTAAATTTATTATTTATTCATGGAGAGTGCCACAAGATAATAAATATTCAAAATGTACACCTTTACAGGCTGTTACAAATTAGCTTCTAACGGTAAGAGGTACATATGTACCTGCTGTTTTTCAGTATGCTTTCGAGGCATTTTTCACCTATTTCGCATCATCTTATCGGAAAATTAGAATATACGTTTATATACGAATATACGACAGATTGTTTCGTTAGTTTAGGTTTTATAAGCAAAAAACTAAAAAAAATGCGTATGCATAAATATGTTTAAAAACAATTAATTAATGGTAAATTGGAGTAGGAAACATATCTACAGACTGTCTTTTACATGCTGGAACAGTGCGTTTGCTACTAGTATTTTTGTTACAAAATCACGAATTTAATGCTCAATTAGTTGGCCAAAATACATGCAAAATTAAAAATATATCTAAAAAATTTGTACTTACTTTATTGTCATATTGTACATACTTATACATTTCAGGGCAACGCTAGTAACCATTAACAGTGCAATTGGCACGCTTAGTAGTTCGTTTAAGTAGTCAACCAACCTGGACAACAAAGAGGTAATTGGTAATATTTCGGTTAAAAATTAGTACAATTAAATTAACCGAAAGAATAACTCATTTTTTTTATAAATTCGACAAAATTACCTGCAATATACTTAAAAGTTAGTCATAGTTTAACTACAAATTTCCAGAATATTCTTAGTGATTTTGAAAAGCTTCAGTAAAATTTACATAGGTAATAAAATAACGGACAATATTAAGGAATCATCATTAGAAATTAAAAATTTCCAGTGGTATACTTCACTGTACAACTATTGTTTTCCTAAATAAACTCTTCTTACAAATTAAAAATTTTGAAAAATTTTATAGTGTATATGTGAACATGACAAATCTGTAACAACAAACTTCAGTAAAGCATCAATTTGTATCGAAGGAAATTTTGTATTCCTTTAAGGAGGTATATCGGGGTCCGAGTGAAATGAGGAGCGCAGGGGGGGGTCCTATGCTTTTCTTATGAGACTAAAACCCGCTGCCAATTTCAAAAAATAAAATTCTATTGAAATTATTTGCGATAAACATTATCTATACAGCAAACAAATCTACTCATGGCTCATGCACATGGCATACATATTGACTAATTAACAACATAAAAATATCATGTTTAAGTAGTTTTAAAATATATTTAATGAACGCATAGAGACTATGTAGATGTGACAACAGCGCTAATAATTGACTAGCAGTTGTACACACTGTGAACCTACACCTCGGACATCGGAGATATTGCGTGTCAAATTCGGGTAAAGATGCGTACGCGTTCAAAAATGTATTGTGTGTAAATTATGTACAATATAATTATTATATATAGCAAATATATCGTATTATCCTCGATTTGTATCCTTTATTTAAAATCCGTAAATCATGTAAACTGGTAAAACAACGAGAATTATGTTAATTTAGTTTTAAAGAAATGAAATGACACTCGCGCCCATCTCTCGTCCAAGTCAAAGAAAATGTTGCATGCAATTTTGAAGGTTCTGTGATAGAAATTACATTATTACTCACTGTTCGTGTTTTTAATCTCTATTTTAGTAATGTTACAAAAGTTTTGCAGCTATAACAACAAACAAACCAACAAACAAGTAAAGAAAACTTTATGTAACCCTAAATATTGCTGAGTAATGATTACGATGTTTTTATAAACCATTAAATATACTGTATTTTATTCCAATAAATATATCACAGCTTCCTAGTCTTTTTTAATTAATCTAGTTTTTTTAAAATATTACAAAAAATCATCTGTTGTGGATAATTTATTGTTGATAACAATGTACATGGGATTTAGGAAAAATGTATGTGTTTGAAATCAATTTCGTTTTTATCAAGTTTTTCAAATACATTCGCTCCTTGCTGCACATTAACTCTCAAGTCAGACAGAAATGCAATTATTGGTTTCTGTTTCTAATTAATACAGCCGTACTATGTTCAAAACTTACATAAAAAATAAGATAATACCGTGTACTATCTATGGAAAAGTTTTAATTCACAATTTCTACATTTTTTTTCTCAGTTATGCGCAAAAAAAGGGCCGCACCGTCCATCTTCGCCATATAAACCTATGTTAAAATGAACAACTTTCAACAACAATATCTCAAAATCTAGATTCAAAAAAAATTTCAAAAAAATATGACGCACAGAGGGAGCACTGACTAATACGCTATATAAATTTCGAGTACATCTGTGTATTTGAGTAAACCCGATATACCTCCTTAATTTAACTGAGACAAATTAACTAACCTCATAAGGAACTGCTGATATTTAATTATCGATTTTAGCTTCCGTATATAGATCTCGACGTCGTGGTCATTTTCAATTTCCATTGTATTAACATCCACAATCCTCAAATTTACTAGTCTAAATTGCACTGCAACCACAACTATCAGGGAACATATAAATATGTCGAAAGAAACAAAGGCGAACGCAGCGTTTATAATAACGTAAAATTCGACAGTATAAAACAACGGAAATGGTATAAAAGGAGGTATGTAGCAGTTAAATATGGACGAAGCATTCGAAACGAAGGGTCCTATGACGTATATTAAAATTGCTAAAATTAAGATATTTTTATAAATTTTTTGCACACCATTGAAATGCTGCAGCAAATACGTTATCTGGTCGTCTGCAACATTGACTTTCCAGAAGAGTTCATTTGCCTCTAAGATTTGTTTGATTTTCTTTCTGCCTAGTGCAAGCGGTACATACTTCACCATTATCTGAAACAGAAATAAAATTATTATAATTATTAATTTTTATAACAAAAGAACCATACATAGGAACTTATACTAGTATTTATACTTACTACGACAAGTGCACTTATTGTTTCTACAATTTGTAGGTCTCTATCAAGATAGCATTTGAGGAAAGCCAGGACTATAACACACGCTGTTAAAAAGTTGTTGAAAGTAACACGCCATTTACAAGCAGAAAGGTGAGGATGAATCCCGAGAAGAATAAAACTTTTAAAACAGAAATTATTTTCCATTTTTCAGCATCTGCTGTTACTGCAGAAAGATAAACAGCATTTGCCAGACGGACTGCAACATATAACGGTTTTATAGTGACGAGTTACGATCTACACCCACCTATTTATATATTAATATAATTTATGACTGTAACTTTAAATATTGATTAAAATGTCTTCGAGTAACTGTGGTTAATAATTGAAATACGGAAAAGTTATCAACTGCATCGAATATTTCAATTTTTTATCACTACATATTTAATTGTAATGGGCATTCGAAAGGGAATATACCATACTCCAAAGGTAGCTTCCTTGGATTAAAAATAAACCGATTTGGATAAAGTCACCTTAGTACAATTTTACTTTCTTGAAAAGTTACAGGACTACAAAGAATATTCCCAATTATTTAAAATTTAAGTAATTAAAGTAATTTAAGTAATTTTTTGAGTCCCATATCCTACCTATCTCTTAGATAATCATCTACCTTAGAGCTACTAAACCCCATAAATCACTACCCCATAAATCACCCTAATTTTTCCTATGAGATTCGTTTTATTATATGTAATGCCTATTTCATCATATTATTTATTTATTTATTGTGTTTACTTGCTACCCATCGGGTTGGCAAAGTTATTGTCTACATTTATAAAAGTTAGCCCAGAAATGCTTTTTCGTGAACAAACAAATAACGTTCTTAGATTTAAGAAGTGTGTGGCGGTGGAAGATTCCCATATCGAAACTTAACTTATTCTTGCTTTGTTTTTCTATTTTATGTTATGTGTAAAGTATGTCTGTCCAATTTTGTTAGTGAAAATTACATTAGCAGACAGTAAGATTTGCTAGACTTATTTTAAAAATATGTACGGTTTTAACATAGTAATTATGTCCAATTAAAAATTAAAAACAAAAAATGGTGGATGCGCCGCTCGATGTGCACTATTACATAAAATCATATATATTTCCTAAACTGTTAATTTTACCGAGTTGAACCAAGAGGGTATTATCGTTGGCAAATTCTTCAGGGAACTTATTTTTGACACAGGCAGATTGCGATCGTCATCTATGCAAAAATTCTGGGTTGTTAACCATCGGGCATAGTCTGTCCCTGACGTTCTGGTCATAATGAGGTTTCACTTACAACATCAAAAACAAGCTATAGGCATGTGTTATCAATCACCAAATTTGCATCATGCTGAAGTTAATAGTTTAGAGACTGTAAATGAAAATAACTTTTTAATTTTCACCTTTGAGGGCCCGTAACTTGTTAACAAAGGCCCATATGAAAAAAAATATGACGAACTGATTTTATTTTGACCTCAATTATTTGTACTACATTTACTTTTTTGTATCAAGTACCGGGACACCCTGTATATACGAGTATAGCTAGGTTCAAGTACGAACCACACACTATATTGCAAGAGATATGCCTAATTCTTTTTTGAAATGCAATTTCAGGTGCACTTTGGGATACACGAACTTGCTATTATTCGCTTTTTATAATTATTAACCAGGCACTTTAGAAAATCAATGAGACTGGGAAGGCAATGAAATTCCTGAATCAAATTCGTAGGTAAAAATAAAAAACTGCTATTAATCTTAAGCTATTCATAATATTAATAATTTTGTAACGTAATCTTCCAAAGAAATATTCTGTATTCTTGTTTTTCATATTGTCAACACTCTTGACATTGTTGTTTCAAAATTTGATTTTTTCTAAAAAATTTGTGTTTTACATTTAATTTTGTTTTATTTAATATCTATTTATGCATCCCACCTGAAAACGCACCCTAAATGAAAAAAATGTTAAGAACTTTCTGTTATGGTTATTTTTACGTGTTCGTGTTTGTTAAATGCGATATTAGAACAACAAGAATACATAATATTTAATTGAAAAAATATATTATTTAACAATTTTAGTATGTCAGGTATTTTATATTAACAGAAAATATTGATTTCCCACATTTCCCTAACCTACTTTTTTCTTTTGCTGGACTTCTATAGCTTGCTGATTATATAGTCTTTTGTAACCCTAGTTCCTGGTTTAGAGCATTTTTTCAGAAACAAGGTCAAAATAATACTCAGAATAACTGATACTCATTTTATTCACATAAATTCTAATGTGATCTATACTATTCCACATCTACTTATTTCCTTTTGCAACATATATTAAGTGATGTCCTTATAAGGTGCGGAATTTTTTCTATTTGATAGTTATTCAAATGATACTGAAAATAGTGTGGATGTATTTTTACGGAAAACTGTTTAAAGGAGGTATAAAACCGCTATTTTTGAGAAAAGCTTCCTTATTTCATAACGCTTATAGTATTTTTTTGTTATTTCAGTTGTACTTTCTATATTACCACATTGGTACTATAAAAGTGTTTTAATATGGCATTTCAACTTTTCCTTCTAGTCTCTGTTCACGATGGACCATGTACAAAAAGACAGGAGCTAAATATTTTTTTGGCGAACTGAAAAAAGGAAAATTTCATATTTGAAGGAACCAAATCTTCTGGCTTTTCTGATATATTGTATTGTTTCAGATGAAAAGGATACTATAGCGTTTTGTTACGATATTGAAGGCCTAATAAACCAATTAAAACTCAACTCAAAGTTTTTAGAGACGAGTGGAGGTTATTCAAGACAGTTGTTCTACAATCTACATAGTGGTGGTAGATGTGATTCACTTCCAACAGCATACTCAACAAAACTGAAAGGAAACTGTTATAGTATGAAGAATATCTTGGAAAATATAAAACAATTAGAATGAGGATGGCGAATATGTGGAGCTTTCAAAATTATTACTGTTGTCCCCAAACACCAACCAGGATTTACTAGGTATCCCTGTTTAGTTTATGAGACAATGGAGATAAGAAGAATCACTTTATCAGAAAACCTGACCTAACCGAGGAGCTCTGAATTTAGAATTTTTAGCGTTACTCAAGCTCAAAATACATCCGAAATTCTGTTTTGTCCACTACATATAACACTTGGGACTAATAAAACATGCTTATGGTGCTTTAAATAAAATTTAAATTTCCCGAAAACAGACAGTGCTAAAGCTGAAAGAGAGTATATTCGATGGACCTCAAATTCCTAATATGTTACGTGAAGATTGTGTATTAACAATAAATTAATCTAAGCAGGTGCATAGCAAAAATTTAACATCTGTAACATGTACAATCCTTGCGAATGCATATTCACAAATAACTTTTTAACAATTTGGGGAGCATTTTCTCGAAAATGAAGGCTTTTTCTGTAAAATAGCATAGAAGCTGTAAGCAGTTTTTATCATTTGAAAAGAAACTACAAAAGTATTTTAAAATAGCCTTTCTACTTCTTCTAAGTCTCCATTAAGTGCAAATATAAGCTTCTCGTAGATACTTTAAACTTTAACATATAATTTTTTTCTTTGGCGACTGTTCAGTTCATCATTTCACTTATGTTACTTCTTGTAAGAAGGTATGGAAGGTGTAAGCAGTTTTCATCATCTGAAAAGAAAATTATACTTATATTAGAATGTTGAACATGTATCTCTAGAGACTTTATACTTATAGAAAATAACGATTTCAAAATCAATCATTTTTCATATCTACTACATTTCTGATTTATCTGTAGCCCGTTATTTTACTTACTAATAAAATTGTTCTGTTGTTGATAACGTGATAGTGTCCAGCCCTTATACAAATACTTTTCTGGCTCCGGATCATCATAATCAAAAAGTTTTTACGCAGAGATCGTAGTTGGGGTGAGTACCATTTACACTCAGAATATAAAGTGTCTGCTGTTGCTTCTGACTGGAAAATAATTACATTTGTTATATCAAATTTTTTACAGAGTTCTAAACCGAGCAAAAAAATTAGGGGAGCATAAAAATTTCCCAATTTTTTTTAATAATTTTTGAATGGCTGTAACTCGTGAATAATGATCGAATCGAGAAAAAGCATCTTGAGGCTCGAAGATTCTAGTTTTGAAAAATTAGTTTTGTTTTTTTTTTATTTTCTGAACGATTATTTCTCATCGAGATATTGGCTTTTGAGTGAAACTCACCCTTTTCTATGAGCCGTATCTCATGAACTAATGATCGTACACTGAAGGTGGGTTTTGTAAACTTGAATCACTACTCTTGAAGGCCTATTGGTATGTTTGAGATTTTTTTTTAATACCTACTCAGTGTTAATTTAAAAAAGTGCAAAAATGACCTTTTCTGCTGTGTTGGAAAATCAACGACTACCTTTCAAAAAATTGCTAATGTTCGTAGGTATTTTTTAGCTCAATACATGCCCATAAGGCCTGAAAATCCGTTTTCCTGTCCTGAATCGTCAAAGTTTTATAAAAAATAAAGGAGCGAGTTTATTGGTCTATAAACATCAATTAATGATGATTGGGACGAAAAAAAATTTGATGCGTTATATTTCTCACAATTCGCGTTATATATTTATCAAATATCGAAAGAAAAAATTTAAAATTTTGAAAATTCGATCTTGAAAAAAAATCAAAATTTTCAAAATTTCATTGCCATTATCTTTTTTACAACTTCATATTGAATATTTCAAATGACCAAATGTTGAAATAAAAAAAAAACAATTTTTAAATAATAAAAAAATATTATATGACTTCAAAATTTTCAGAAAATTATACCTAGGTACTTAATAATTTTCTGTCCAGTTTTGATGTGACTTTTTTCTTCGCATGCCGTTTTTCATCGAGTTAAAATTAATTGCATTAATTTATGTTGATGGCCTCATGTGAATCTTCATGTATTTTTTTACACATTTTTTTACAGTAAATCGATATACGATTTACTGATCCATTTTTAATAAAAAAAAAATTTCAAAAATATCTATTTTTTTCATTAAAAAAATAATATTCAAATTTTATTATTTTTTTAGATATTTGATAAGTATTCAGTGTGACATTGCGAAAAAAAAATTTGAAAAATTAGATTTTTTTAATTTTTAATTTTTTTTATCTATATTTGATGAGTATTTAACACGAAATAGTGAGAAAAATAACATAATTCTTTTTATCTAAATGATTGAATGATGTATAAGGAGCAAACCAGCTCCTATATTTTTTTTTATAAAACTGACGATTCAGGGAAGGAAAACGGTTCGACTCATCAATTTCAAAATTTCCAGACCTTGTGAGCATGTATTGAACTAAAAGAAAACCTACAAACACTGGCAATTTTCGCAATATTTGCAGAGTAGTTATTGATTTTCCAAATCAGCAGAAAAAGAACTTTTTGGCAGTTTTTCAAATTAATATTGAGAATATTTTTTTTTGTCAAACATGCCACAAGGTCTTTGAAGAGGATTGATTCAAGTTTCCAAAATCTACCTTCTATTCGCTGTACGATCATGAGATATGATGACAAAAAAAAAGGTGACTTGTCACTCAATGAGAAATAATCGTACAGAAAATAAAAAAAACAAATTGTAGGTGAGAAATCAGGCTAAATGACCCTCTCATTGATTAATCCAGAAATAAAATAAATTTCTGGGCCCATGGTCAGTTTAAAACAAAATAAAATTTTTTGCCCTTACTTTATTTTTTTGATTGCACTGAGAGTGATGTTCAAAAAAATTTTTTCGTCTTAAGATTTCAAAACTAGAATCTTCAAGATGCTTTTTTTTCTCAATACGACCATTATTCACGAAACTACAGCCTTTCAAAAATCACTAAAAAAATTTGGAAAATTTTCTTACATCCTTAATTTCTTTGCTGAATGTATCTATATGGGGTCCGCTCAAATTTTAATTATAATATGGTCTCCATTGCTTTGAAATCATTGACAAAAATTTCTTTGCGTCTAGAGTGTACTTCAAAATATAGTTTAAAAATTTGAACGATCCCCCTGTATTTATTAAATACAAACCTCGTTCATCAGTAACTGCGCAGGGAGCCCATATATCAAGAAAAATTCGGCAGTCACAATGAAAATGATAATAAAAAATCTACCCTCCTCGAACACAGAGCCTTGGCTGAAAATGATATGGAAAATTATTGTGTCTTATTCCCATACTGGGTGTATTTAAATGAATGATCACAAATGCCACCTTGTTAATCTTCAGGCCAAAAGTAGATCAAACTGAGATAAGTTCACTTTAGTTCAAAGTTGCCATGTTGACAAATTGCAGAGTATTTGATTTTTTCTAAAATATCACAAACATGTAAATATCTGGGAAGATATTGTAGTGACCATTTCAATATTAGTTTTATTGTAACAAATCAATTGCCTAATAATTTTTAAAGAGGACTGAGGTGTGCTCTGAACTGCGAAAAAAATACTAAGTGACAACGTCATTAAGAACATCAGAATTTCAATGTTACTGAATATTTTCGATATTCGATTAAGATCATTTGATTCATACAATTCATAACAGGAAGAACTTTTATCACATTTTATGCTAATGGTAAATGATTTACTATTTTTTAAATTAAAAATAAACTTATGCCACAGTCGAAAATAATTCGCAAACTATTCGTTTTATAAGAAAAATGCACAAGAGTTATTTTTAGAATTATAATTTTAAATACAATGTATCAAAAATCCCACACCTAAATTTTTTTCTCTTAACAATTGCATTGTATTTAAAATTGAACTCGTATAGTATAGTACTCTATTATTAGCTTTATAGCTAGTACATTCATGTACATCTTATTATGTAAACAATGCAATATAAAAAAAATAACAACTACTGTCAAGATACCTACACTTGGTAAAAAAAAGGTAACAATAAAAATACTTGAAAATAAAATTACACAAATAAGATGAAATGTTGAGAACAATTTTTGGAAAAAAACATGTTACACGCAAATAACTTGAGTTTTTATCATTTGGCACAATTTTTATCAAAAACTATACGAAAAGTCACATTTTTCGAACTTCGTTTTTTCACATCCTGATATTTGGCGGACTCTAAAGGGTGTCTATAATATAAACGCCATATATTTAATTTGTGTTAGTATAGATCAAAACAACAAAAAACCGTTATACAAGGTGTCCCGGTACTTGATACAAAAAAGTCGAGTACAAATAGATGAGGCCAAAATAATATCAGTTCTTCATGTAAATTTTTTTCATAAGGGCCTTCGTTAAAAAGTTACGGACCCTCAATGGTAAAAATTAAAAAGTTATTTTTATTTACATACATTAAACTATTAACTTCAGCATGATGCAAATTTGGTGATCGATAATACATGCATACAGCTTGCTTTTGATGTTGTAAGTGAAACTTCATTATGCCTAAACCGCCAGGGACGGACTATACCCAATGGTTAACAACCCAGAATTTTTGCATAGATGACGATCGCAATCTGCCTTCATCATAAATAAGTTCCCTGAAGAATTTACCAACGATAATACTCTCTTGGTTCAACTCGGTAAAATTAACTGTTTAGGAAATACTTGTGATTTTATGTCAGACACACACAGACACACTTTACACATAACACAAAATAGAAAAACAACACAAGAATAAGTTAAAGTAAGTTAAGTATTCAACTCCAAATATCGATGTCCATACAGACGTTTCTGAAAAACGTATAGACCTATTAAATTATTACCCACTATTAATGTATTGACAGGAATAATGGATAATAATTTAATACGTCCATACGTTTTTGAGGAACGTCTGAATGGATACATCGATATTTGGAGTTTTTGCAAAGTAATTTGCAGCCACTATTAGACCATGTTCCATTAGTCACCCGAAAAAACGTTTGGTTCATGCACGATGGGGCTCCTCCCCATTACAATGTTAATGTATGAAATTATCCATTATGTTTAATAATAACTGGATTGGGAGAGGAGGCCCAATTTCATGGCCACCACGTTCTCCAGACTTTAATCCGATGGACTTCTTCCTTTTGGGATATCTGAAAAATTTAGTGTACTCAACCCTAAATTATGTTGCATGGTGATAATATTAGACGTATCATAAAAATGCTTTTTCATGTACAAACAAATAACATTTATAGAGTTAGGAATGGTGTGGAAGTAGAATGTGCCCATACAGAAAATGTATTTTGATAGTTTTCTTTCTTTTAAATTATTTTTTAACTTCCTTTAACTTAATCCTGCTTTTTTTCTATATTGTGTTATATGTAAAGTGTATTTGTCATATTTTGTTAGTGAAAATTACATTAGCAGACAGTAAGGTTTTCCAGGGTCTTATTTTAAAAATATGTACCAGGCAGATTGTGATCGTCATCTATGCAAAAATTCTGGATTATTAACCATTGGGTATAGTCCGTCCCTGGCGTTCTCGTCATAATGAAGTTTCACTTACATCAAAAACAAGCTGTACGCATGCGTTATCGACTACCAAATTTGCATTATGCTGAAGTTAATAGTTTGGAGACTGTGAATAAAAATAACGTTTTAATTTTCACTTTTGAGGTCCGCAACTTGTTAACAAAGGTCCGTATGAAAAAAATTTATACGAAGAATAGATATTATTTTGACCTCATCTAATTGTCCTCGACTTTTTTGTATCAAATACCGGGACACCCTGTATACAACGTAAGTCCTAGACTTAATTTTCAATAAAAACAGTTTATATCAAATTTTGTAAATTTAATAGTCGAAGCTTACAAAGAATTGTTTGCCATTAAGGGCAACAATAATTTCTTTGTGCAAACATCTCATATTATTTCTCGTCTCGTATTTTCAGTACGAATGATATTAAGCTTGCTGTAATTCGTTGCCTGTTTTTTATTGTTTTCCACAATTTATCGATTATTAGAACTTGAGATGTTAAACTGTTGCCAGGGGAAAGCAACATGTAATTTTTAGAAAGCAAAATGTAATTCTTAGGATAACCGGTACCCAAAACATATGTTTTGATTATAAGTTAGGTTATTTGTCGCTATGTTCCATAGTGTTTTAGATAGTGGCAACGTAATTTCTCGCCCTGAAAGCAAGCCACAATAACAAGTTCGTGCAAAAAAGTAAATACTATACTTTGTTCGCGACAATTTTGCTACAAGTACAAGAAAAATTATCAGTTAAAGGGTGTATCTAAAACAATAGTTGCAATATACTTAAACAACATAAACGTCACGTACAGGAGTTGACAGTAGCAGGTTTTCCCGACAGACAGACTATCCGAGTTCTTCTTAGAAGCAAATCGCTATTGAACACACGCACTGCCAACCCCCTGCACCTGTCGGGGATAATATATGACAAACTGGCCTTATATTAACCTTGAAATGATTTTACATATTCGTCTGACTATAAGTGCAACTATAAAAATGATAAAATTTATACTTACTGTGTCGTCCTAACATACAGACTACTACAGATCATGGTAACGCTACTGACCATCAGCAGTGCAATTGGTACAGTTAATAATTTATTTAGATCATCAACAAATCTGAAAGAAAGTGGATTGGTTTATTTTTTTCATATCCGTTTCAAGTGAAAGACTGTGATTTGGCCAGGGAAGTACATAGGTAATTTTTTTTGCTGCTACTAGAAAATGTGATAGGTTTGTTGTCAAGAAAATTATTATTGATTGTTTTTTAATCGATTTCTCTTTCGTTTATTTTATTTGTAAATATATTGATTAAGTAAAGGATAAAACACCTACAATATTCAAAAATTAAAGATTCTTTTCCTCATTTAATTTTTTATATAAAATGTGTTTAGGAAGGAAATGTATCTCTAAATATATGTATTTTCTTTTAAATGGAACAGTCGACAGTCGAACAGGCGGCAAATGTATATTTGTCGCCTTTTTTTTCTTTCCTTCTTACTTCTGTTTACAATGATATGTAAGTGTCATATATTTGCTTCGATAGTTTGCACATTTTTTTTATTTACTTCATGGCTGTTACAATAGTTATTTAATTATGCAGTAAAGTACAAGATGGTATTTAAGCAGCAAAGGCATTAAATCCACTTTACTGCCCAGTTAAACACATATTTTTTTTTAAATTTTATCATAATTGCAAACAAAGCTATTTATTTATTATTAAAATTGTATGATAGTTCTTTCATGTCAATAACATTATATCATTTTCAGAATATGTACTATTGGTATATTTTGCTGAATTAAGTAAAAGTATGAAATCTTCATTATGATCAATATATGCGAAGCTCAGAGCTACTTTGAATGTCTACAACAACATCGATATTGGAAAACAGGTAACTAAAATTAAAAGAATTCTTGAAACGGCAATCGGATGGATGTCGTGCTAAAAAGTCAGCAGTTTTAGAAAATGAACAAATTAAAATACTCTAATGGAGGCTCTTGATGGTACGTATTTAGATACAAAGGCAATTATAAACAAAATATTTTTATAAACGAAGAATACTGACTATTATTATTTTAGGTGACAATGATTTTTGCCATATCTGGGGCATGTCGATGTGATGAATTACTTCAAACAAAAATTGGAGATTGTGTTATCAAATTGTGTTATCAATCTGAAGTTAATAGTTTAAAGACTAAATAAAAATAACTTTTTAATTTTCACCTTTGCAGGCCCGTAACTTGTTAACGAAGGCTTGTATGAAAAAAAAAATTATATGAAGAACTGATATAATTTTGACCTCATCAGTTTGTATTCGACTGTTTTGTATCAAGTACTGGGACACCCTGTATATGAAAAAGTCAATGTTCGTCTAAAATTAATTTTACATCTGCAAAATAAAAATCCTTTCAGTGGCTCGTTCTCAAATTGTCGTATGTCACGAGATAGATTTAATTTTTTTCATGCTCAATGTATATTCATGATCATGATTATATTGTGCACATAAAACTTCGTTCCAGTATTTTCATGTTATTAGAAGATATTGGAGATATAACATTTTTTTTTCAAAAGACAGCATACATCATACATTATAAATGAAAGCAAATGTATAATATAAAAAAATATAAAACATTAATTAAAATATTATTAATTAATATTATTATATATAGAGCTAAATTGATTTCCTCAAGAAATGAAATTTTTAATAATGATTTGAAAGTCAAAAAATTGTTCTAATATACAAGAATTTTCTTGAAACAGTTGTTAGGAATATTGAAGGTAAGACAAATTATGTCAGACAAAAAAGAGAAATTACATTCACAATAAAAATTATAGATTAAAAAAAATAGGTATTAAAAACCTTAGAACAGTTTTCCAGACAACTAATACTGCATGAACTTTACTGTCAAATACGCGCCCAAATAACAATTTTCAAAATTCAGAAAATTGCGTAGTAATAGTAGAACAAACATCATATGATATGTTCAACCACGGAAACAGAAAAAACAAACTTTAAAGTGTCAGTGATAAAACGTCTCCTTAATTTTTGACAGTTATTTATTTACGCACTGTATAAAGTATAGATTCTAAGGTATTAAACTGTTTCCATTAAAGTGAGGCACGTGGAATAAACCAATTTCAGTAACACTGACATACTAGAAAGTTTATGTAAATAAACTAACAATAAGTTACACTTACCTTATAAGAAACTGTTGATATTTAATTATGGATTTTAAATTCACTTTGTAGACCCTAAGGTCGTGATCGTTTTCAATCTTCCTAGCATTAAGATCTTCAATTTTTAAGTTTACCAGCCTAAATTGGGCTGCAACTGAAACTATCATAGAACATACGAATACATTGAAACAAAAAGCTGATGCCGCCCCAACTATAATGACATAAATTTCGAAAGCGTAGAATATCGGAAAGGGTATTCGGGGTGGAATGTAACAGTTGCATATGGACGATCCTCTAACAAAAAAGGGTTTTGCAACATGTAATATAATGCCGAAAAAAATAGCGTGCTTATAAACTTTCTCTATTGTTTTGAAATACTGGACGTAATATTTTACTTGGTCGTCTTCAACGTCGGTGTTCCAAAAGTGTCGCATGGCCTCTAAGATTCGTTTTATCGGTGCTCGACCAAATATCAGTCCCAAATATTTCACAGTCACCTGAAGTGGAAATTTTCTTAATGTACAATACAAGTAAAAACGTCACAGGTATACTCCAGTCGAATTAGAGTTTGAACGTAAACAAAGTCATTAATAGACATTTTATTGCAAATTGTGATGGTGAAGGGTATGTAGAATGATAAAAACTAACTCGAAAGAAGTGACACTAAGTTAGCAAATTGCAAATAAGTGTCAAAATTAAATGTTTTTTTCACTTTTTGATTGCCCATGAAAATTTAGACGACCTATCGGAAAATTGGTTATTTTATATTGTAGGCTGTTAAATTACCTACAATTTAAGCTACCTAAAGTCATATTTCACTAATTTGTTAACTGTAATATTTTTTTTTATTTTCAGGTTTTGTAATCTAATTCGACTGGTGTAGTAGCAAAATAACATAAAACAGATAAAAAAAGGATACTTACAATAATAAGACCATTGCATACGTCCACGACTCCTAAATCTTTTTCGAAATAAGAGTTGAGTAGCGCCAGCAGACAAATACACGATACCAACGAGCAGTTAAAAATAATACGAAGTTTGTCCATGGGTTGGCTAGGATGTATCCCAAGGAAAGAAAAATGTTTAAAGTATGAAATATTCTCCATTTTCGTGTGTTCGCTGTTATTAGAAGAACACAAATGATTCTCTCGTTAGCGTGTAACAGAATATAAATACAATGGGCAGTTACCACCAACACCCACCTGTTCAAGTATTTATAAAGGTATACGTATAATTTTAAATGTTCGCTGAATTTGTTCCTCTCTCTAACGTTAGCGATTGAAATATTAAAACGTCATCAATTTGTTACCGCTAATTGAGTAGTCAGGGGAAATACAGCATGTTTTTGAAGTTAGTTTGCAATATAAAACCAAACATTTTGTATAATCATTTATTTTTTCAGTTATATAAAAATATCTCAATTTTTTAATGAATGAGCGAGCTATGAAACAATACAGCGAGCTTGAAGTATCTTGTGGAATGACGCAAAAAGAGCGAAAACAATACTTTTGAATAAAAAGAGGTCCCCGAACTGATTTTACGTTGTTAACTTAATTGAGTTACTATATTTAATACAATTCAAGAGATAAAGTTGTTATAAAGTCCTATTGTAGTTATTTTTTCTAATGTTAATGCGGGAAACTGGAATAACAATATTCTCAGCATGCCTGGTATAGTGCTGGTGTAGGTTGCAGTGTTTGACCAAATTTCCAACATTTTTACGAATAAGAAGTAAGGATTCATATATAAAACGGATGGAAGTGGTAAAATCCTAATTTTTAAAAATAAACCGCAGCCTTCTGCAGAATGAAAGCTTTTTGGGCATTACTAGAATTACCCCAAAGTGCAATGCCATATGTCAAATGACTATGAATGAATAAAGAGTAATACGCCATTCTCATTACACTGTTATCAGCTAAAGGTGGCAGCTGTCTTAACAGGAATATTTGTGTAGTTTTATATCAACATATGCTGTCCAGTTTAGACTAGAATCTAGAGTAACACCCAAATACTTTACATCCGATTTGGGTTGGATTTTACAAGAAGTAAATGTTATGTGTTGAGTTTTGGAAACATTTAGCTTCAATTTATTCGCTGAAAACCAATTTTCCACCGCAATCAAATTACCCGAACTCATATCGCTACTAGCACGAGACAACAGTGTTATGTCATCCACAAAGGGGATACATGTATATTAGGAATATTGACAGGCAAGTCGTTGATGTATATCGGGAAAAGCACAGGACTTAGTACTGACCCTTGAGGTACACCATTACATACAGATATTATATTATTGATATATATGAGTAATAATGAATCCCGCTCACTATATTGTTTTATCTTTACTTGAAACGCTTATTTCAAGATATAATGACGTAGAAAAACAACAAAATTTGAATGGTCGCCCATCGCCAAAAATAACGGCAATATTTAACGAAAAGAGAAAAGGTCGGGAAAGTTTTCGAAAAGGCAATCTTCGTGATATGATAATAATAATTATTAATGACTATGTGAAATGAAGAAAAAATTAAGTATGCGAAAAATATCACTGGATTACCAAGTAAATGGGGCAAAAGTTACAACGAATTAGAAATATTTTCGAGCTATAAAATGCTATACTACGAAATTATAAATTGCATTTCCCTTCAATTAAGTATTCGTTTTGGCAATTTACATGATTTAAATTTTCTTGCTTTACTAGATTCCTCAAAATTTCCCGAATATGCAATGAAATTTCTCGAAAAATTGTTTGAATGTTTTCTACAAATACAGGGTGATTCAGAACTTATCAAAAAAAATTCTGGATGTACAGGGGACTGTTACAAATACAATTTTGTAAAGAAAAAATTAAGAAGGGCAGTTCGAAAATTATTTAAAAATACACTGCACGGTACTGGAAACTGGTCCACTGTATAACTTAGCCTGGCACAATGCGACCGTCACGGCGACAGTGATAAAAACGAACAAAAACTTGAAAGAATATCGTAAGGAAAGGAATAAATATAATTTTATAGCCCCTATTTTATATCAGCAAATTCAACTGATTGTTAGTATTAATTATTAAATTTATTTGTGGCTTTAAATCAAAATTTTGTCCACCGACGTGTAAACACATTTGGGTCCGTCTTATTCTTTCAGTTTCTACGAACTAACACAAATGCTGTCTTGTTCCACCATAACACAAATGATTCACAATAGGTAATACAAATGTTTTCTTGCTTCACCATAAATTAAAACGATATCCATCAACTCCGAGATGCTATACACGCAAGCCATTTTTGGCACTAACTACTAAAAAACTATTGTAAACGCTATGGTAACGACTACTGTAAAATCGGATTTCAGTATTCGGAGTCGCTGAGGCCACGTGGTTCTCCATGCATTTTACGAATGACGCTAAAGGCTACAGTTGTCCAGCTATGTAATGGTTGAAAGTACTACAACTTCAATAATTTTTTTCTCGGAAACTATAAGGACTTTACAAAAATTTTTACGATATTGACTCCATTTCTCATGCCGCATCTATTCCCAATTTTTTTAGGATAAGTTGTGAATCACTGTATATCCAAACCATTTTGGAATTTAGATAGGTTGAAAAACGAACTTAATATTTTATACAGAGATGAACAATTTCGTAATTTAGAAGTTAAAAAAACGGTAGAGATATTATACAAGGAATTTAAAATGGTATTTTCGGACACATACAAATTGTTTTGTCTAGTTTTAACAATTTCTCGGTAGAAACAAACTTTTCGTGTCTTAAGTGCATTAAGACTTACTTAAGAAATACGATGACACAAGAGCGCTTAAAGGACTTATCAATGATGGCAATAGAAAAAGAACTATTGCAAAGATACAATATTATGAAGATATTATAAGTAAATTTTTAAATTTTGGAGACCGATGATAAAAAATTAATGTTTTTAAAATATTTTGTTAAAATACATAGTAAAATAGATAAGCTGTTTTTTCATATTTTTTAATATCCTAAATTTCTGGATATTATAGGTTCTGGTAATGGTGCTAGTTATTTTTGACAGTACGCACCACAATGGGTACACTTTCTTAATTTCTCAATAAATCAGACCAAGATTTTGCTTCAATGCACTGCGATTTTAATAACATATTATATTCTATTTGCAAAATTTATATCTAACAATTCAAACGGAACAAAAATATAGCTCTTTGAGAATTCTCTTTGAAACATCGAGGATCAAAATGTAAGTATTAATTGTAAGAAAAATTTAGATTGTTCTGTACGGTTTTTTCGAAAACGATCAAACTGTTTTATTAATGGTTTTAGGAAGAAGGACAAAATAAAACACAGTATCTTAGGATTATTTAATTCAATTGAATTCTAAAGAGTAGTCTACATCGTGTTGCAGTTTCATGTTTTCTTTCACAATATGCATCTGTGTTAAAATAAATTAATATTGTTAGTAGTAGTACTTAATGCTCCTAATAAAATTGTTGTTGTGAATATGCCTGTGTCCAATATCTTCACGGAGTTCATAGGGTCATAATTACAAACTTTAAGTAACTATTTTAATATCTAGAATATTGCTTTAAACGCTCGTGAGAAATTAGTCAATTAATTTCTTGATTTAAGCTACTTTTTGTAGAAAAGTATAAAAGCTGTAAGCTGTTTTCATCATCTGAAAATGAAATTATTTATTAGGGAGTATAATTTTTCCAATTTTTATATTTACGCTATTCAACAGACCACAGCTCAGTAACAGAATAGAGAACATAAAACTCATGTAAACAAAATATTGTATATTGTAATGTGATATAATTCAATATGATACATACAAAGAAACACAACCAAATGGAGTATACCAAAAAAAGAGAAAACAAATAAATAACAAAATTTAACACGTATGTCAAAAATTTAAAGTAATTTTCTTAAAATGAGTTAAGTTGCAGGAAAAAATGTCAGTAAAAGTAGACGCATTATTATAAAAGTTGCAAATATACTGTATTTTATAATATTTATTTGTTCGACGTAACCCAGTTTTAGGGATGTGTCGATTTAGTAATGAAGTAATGTAAACAAAAACTTAAGCAATATTTTTAATAGGATCGTTAAAGTTTAGTTTCTTGTCAAATGTAACATCAAGATCAGAAAAATATTTTGGTCTGAAGAGAACCTTATTAGTAAGTTAGTAAGTATAGATTTATGACTTCGATACGAACGAAATCTATTGCGAAGGTAAGATTTTGGTATACTAATTTGACTTATCTAGCTTTTTTTCACGCAATTGAAAGAAATATAGGTATTGTATTCAAATAAATCAAATCAACAAAATGTGCTTCAATTTATAACAGGTTTTGCAAATTTATTCCTTTTTCAAGTAACTATATTTTGCGTTTTCCACTTACAATTAGAATAGTCCTGTTGTTAATAATATGATAGTTTCCAGCCCTTATACAAACACCTTTCTGACTTCGGGTCATCATATTTAAAAAATGTTTTCGCAAGGGCCGTAAATTCGGTAAGTACCATTTGCACTCAAAATATACCATGTCTGCTGTAGCTTCTGACTAAAAAATAATAGTTTATCATTTTGGTACCTATATGGAGTTAAAAAAGAGTGTAAAAAATGTTAAGAGCAAAGAGTACTGCAAAAAAAATAAGAAAAAGTGTCAGCAAGTGTATTTCAAATGCATCTTTTCCGGGATATAGAGTGTCAAGTTTTCCAAAAATATCTGCTTATATCTTCCAAACGTATTGATCAAATCATTTCAAATTTGGCAACGGGTATTAGCTAATGATTAATTGAGGTAATGATGATAAATAAGCGGAGATTCAGATGTACCTTCACTTTATTTTAAAAGTACTTCCACCAAGCCACGCCATACACTAAACTTTTAAGATAACCCCTTATGCAACAGATGCAACGTATTCAGGTCTGGCAATTTAGATGGGTTTACCAAGTTTAATCGTCCGTAAGTTTCATTTATGTGCTTTTGAACCGGTTTTGAACCGGTAATGAGAAATAAGGAAGAGCACCATCGTGCTGAATCACAAACCACGCCAGATCTTCGGTTGCATGTTTTCAAGTAGCGGTAACATCTATTTTAAACAGTGTAGATATTTAAGATAGTTTAAGTGATTATGTAATGTAATGTGTTAAGTATATATTACCTTCATAAATGATTACAAGCCACGTGACTGGTATATTCTTTGAAATAGTAATTTTATTTCCTTCGCGTTGGCAATTCAGTTATAGTAAAACTAAAATTTATTGAAACAATTAGATCAAGGTTAGGTTAGAATACAAAATTCTGTTACATCGGCTTATGATTGGTGTAATTTGTAACGACATGTTATTTATCCAAGCGGCGATCGCATTATCTCGCGCGTAGACATAATGGTTTGTAATTGGCCATTGTAAATGTAGATGATGATGATATTGATGACGCTTAAGATTAAGGGATTTTTACTTGACAGTACTAACGTGCAATGTTGGTTGCCTAAGCTTGGTGATCCTGTGGTTTGTAATCATTTATGAAGGCTCTCTGGACCATATAGACCAAGCGGGATCTGTTTTGGTGTAGGTGTTTTATATAGTATCGCTAATTTTTGCTTTAATGGCTCCAAAATGATATAACAAAACATAATTTCACTATACGCGCGCCACAAAATGTGTGCTAAACTTATTATTACACAAATAGTGAAAAAAATAGCAAAAAAATTCCATTTTTTCTCTCTTTGTTTCAACACAGTTCAAAACCTATTCATTTTAGAGAAAAATTGAAGAGGAAAAAAAATCGTAATTAAATTTTACACATGATATACCTTTTTTCAAATAAAAATACAACATAATTATTGCAAAGATAGCAAAAACAAAAAAAAAAAGTGGAGAAAATTACAATATTTTTGCGATTTTTTAAAAGTACTTATATTATAGGTAGGATCTTCATACTTGGTTATAAATATCTTTTTGATATAATAAAACATCACACCAATTTTCGTTAAAATCGGTCCTACAGTTTTCGAGTAATAATTTAGCAATCCTGATTTTTGAAAACATTGTAATTTTTGCAAATTTAACTGAGCCTAAATTAAGAGTTCTAGATACTTGAAAATTTTATCACATAAAAAAGGGCACCCAAACTTTAAAATGCGTCCAGAAAAATTGAAATCCGTTAATTAGGAGAGCCGTGGTAATTGTTTAAAGATATGCGTAATTTTTGGGCTTATAAACAAATAGAATAACTATATATATTCATTATAATTATTTTATTAAATTATGCTTTTATAGTACTCGGAAATATGCGAAAAATACGAGAAAAGTAAAGCAAATTAAAAAGTGGTAATTATCAAAACCTTAATAGGTCGATAATTAACTATAATTCGCATTTGAAAATGCGATATTTGGACTTTTCGGCTCGCGAGACATCGATTTAAAAAAATCCATCAAAATCGGACCACTAGAAGCCGAGATAATAAAAATATTTAAGCGCGCCGCTATTTTGAACGCGCGATTTCAATTTCGAGTCGGCCGGCGCCGTAGCCGCCGAGCTCTCGACCCCCCACCACTACCTCCCATACATTATTCGTGAATTTCATGCTCAGTCCAATAGTTTTAATCGACATTTTGTATGGCTTACACAAGGGCGCAAGTTTTACAAATTCACTCCCGGAAAGTACTCGGAATGACAAAGGTATTTGTTTAAAAGACAGCCAGTCCTCGTAGTTATGCCACAAATACCGGTCATTTGATCTGGAACTAATTCAGTCATCTAGTATCGAAACCCCTTAAATCCGTATTTGATGAAAAGTGAGATATACGCTTCAAAATATTCCTACTAAAATGTGTGTGTTCATTCGAATAATTGCAAAAGTCACCTTTTTTAATTTTTTTAGTGGGGAATTTTAGTAGGAATATTCTGATGAGTATATCTCATTCTTCATCAAAAACGGATTTAAGGGGTTTTGATACTAGAGGACTCAATTAACGAATCACCACGTTTTTTTTTAAAGAAGCGCATTCCCGAGTACTTTAAAAGCATAATTAAAAAAAATTATTATAATGAATTTATAAAGTTATTCTATTTGTTTATAAGCGCAAAAATTACGCATATTTTTAAACAATTACCACGGCTCTCCTAGTTAACGGATATCAATTTTTCTGGACGCATTTAAAAGTTTGAGTGCCCTTTTTTATGTGATAAAATTTTCAAGTATCTAGAAGTCTTAATTTAGGCTCAGTTAAATTTGCAAAAATTTCAATTTTTTTTTCAAAAATCTGGATTGCTAAATTATTACTCGAAAACTATAGGATTGATTTTAACTAAAATTGGTGTGTTTTATTATATAAAAAAAATTTTTTTGGCCAAGTATGAAGATATACCTATAATATAGTAGGTACTTTTAAAAAAATCGCAAAAATGTAATTTTTTTCACTTTTTTTTGTTGTTTTTGTTATATTTGCAATAATTATATTGTATTTTTTTATTTGAAAATAGGTATATCATGTGTAAAATTTAATTACGAATTAAATTTTTCTCTAAAATGAAGTTTTTGAAGTTTGTCGAAAAAAAGTGAAAAAAAATGTAATTTTTTCCAATTTTTTCATTATTTGTTTAATAATAAGTTTAGCACACGTTTTGAAGCGCGCGCATAGTGAAATTATGTTTTGTTATATCATTTTAGAGCCATTAAAGCAAAAATTAGCGAAACCTAGGTTATACTCTGTATGAAACTAGAAATGATTTAGTCAACCTGTTCTATGAATAATTCACAACTAACACCCTATACCTCGGGAAAGAAGGGTTTATCGGCATATTTTCATCTGACCCTTTATTATGATCCTTTGGTATATTCCTTTCTTTTTCAATTTTTTTAACACTCTTTATATTTTAGTATTTTTAAATCCAACCTCGTCCATTAGTAACTGCGCTGGCAGGCCATATACCATAAAAAATTCGACAATTAAGGTGGAGCAACTTATCATAATTCTACCATTATCAACCATAGACCCTTTACTGAAAAAAGTATTGTGGAATTAATATGGTGTTTTGATAAGAAATTTGAGCATTAGTAAAATGAATTCATATTCCATGATAATAAAAGGAAAAGTAAAATCTTTTTATTATATTAAATAAAGTAACTGTAAATTGAGGTTTTAATATATTTATTTGGGAAAATATTTACCTTGTAGTCAAAGCGTACATGTTTAAACACATCAAAAAAACACTAGTGATCATCAACAGTGCAACTGGCACATGTAGTAATTCATTCAAAACTTTAATATATCTGGAAAAAAGTATAATAAATATTTTAGTATTACTGTTTCGTTACTTTTGTGGCGAGAAAATGTTGTTTTTCTCCAACCGAAATTCCCATTTAATTATTAATTTGTGCTTTGAAATTATTCAAACCAAAGGATAATAAAGCAAAGTAAGTAAGTAGGATATATCGATGTGGTCACGAGTACTTTGTCAATCACATTGCTAATTGAGTTCATTTGTGATTGTTTGTGGTTCAATTTGCTGAAAATCTGTAAAAATGGAATCTAATGGAGATTTAGGTGTACCTGAAGAGATACTGGAGTGTGTGAATGAGGTTTCTTTGAATTTTCTCCCAAAGAAATTTATGAATCAATTTCTGAACTTTTTTGAATTGATTTTTTTTTTATAGATTTGTGCAAAGGAAAAACATTAAGTTGTATTCAGAAGATGTATTGATGGTGTATTTCACAAACTTAGCAAATAAAATGAAGCTGTTAACGCATTGGTCACAATATTCAATGTTGCAGTCAACGTTGGATATAAAGAAGAGGATTGATAGGTATAGCAAATGTTCAAAGTTCCTTGCTTTTCTCAAGAGACAAAATGAGGTAAATGTACCGAAAATATCGCGAATATTTATAGAGCAAGTTGCCGTTCTGAAGAATTAGTCAATTTAACACTTGATAATGTTGAAGATGTGAGATCCGCCTTTAACATAAAAATTCCCAATACCAAAACCAAGAGACCACGTTCTTTTATTGTGCTGGAAGACAATTATTTCAGTTTTTTATCGAAAATATGTTGCTTTACGTCCACCTGGATTAGTCGAACGTTGATTATTTCTCAGACATGTTAGTGGGAAGTGTCATCGAATGGTGGTCGGTATTCATAAAATCAGTACCGTCTTGCAACAAGTGGCAAAATTTTGAAAGCTCGACAACTGGAAAGAGTACAGAGAACACGCATTACGACGAACGTCTACTACCCATTTTTATTGACGGCGGTGGTGACCTCACTTGTCCTAAAAAACACGGAGGATGGAGATTGAGCTCTTTGGCGGAAGGCTACAATAAAGACTCATTTTTGAATAAAGAAAATATTGCGAAAAGAATACTGAAAGTTGATAGTGGTAATGATAAACCAAACATCGTTGTCATTTCTTATTTCACAACATCTGAAAATAACAACACTCGGCACAGAAATTAAGGGATATTTAAAAAATCCCAAAATTTTAGGTTATATTCAAAGAGCTGTAACTTGGAGGGAAATGGTCGTAGAGAGAATAAAAAAAGGAAATTGAAGTTCCAAGTCTCTAGTTTATATTTTTTTAGCTTTATCAGTTTTTAAGTAATCGTAGAAATTCAATGGAAATTTTTTTTGGTAAATTTTTGCTTTTTTTTAAAAGGCCTATGAACTTCAATAATTTTTTTTTGGTAATTTCATCATAAAGCTCTTTTAGATAATTTAACTCGCTTCAATTTGAGCAGTTCCGGAGCCTGGTACGATTATTTAAAAAAAATTTAATAGTGTACAAGTTGATTAGGAAAAGGTAAACCATTGCATAATTAGGGTTATTTGAATAACTTGGCATAACATTGCAAATAATGAATAAACTAAGGATATTGACTGCAACTTTTCAACCTCAAAGTGTCCTAAAGAAACCCTGATAGTTTCAAAACGCCGCGATTTTTTTTTCCTAATACCCAAAATGTTTAAATTTTCGTTTTGCTGAAAATCAATATATGTAATTTTTCAATTTTTATTCATTTTTTTAAGTTAAAAATGTTTTTTAGCAATAATCCATATTTTCTTCATCAAAAAACGTTCCTGATTTGTAAACAAAAAATGAAAAAAAAAATTTCAAAATTTTTTAAATATACACAAGCTTCACAAACGTCAAAAAAATTTGGTTGATTTCACGTTGCAAATCACAATTTAATATCGGATATTTCCGCCTCTGTTCCTGATCACCGATTCTAAGCGGTCTCGCATGTAGATATACAAATATTGTTGAATAAAGTTTTAAAAATTAAAAATTGATTAACACCTTTAGTCGTTAGACTTTAGCTCCTAGGATTAAAAGTGAATACTTTTGTTTCTAAGATGCCATTTTTTTTGTCACAGTAAGGAAAACGTCAACCTTAGAGACCTCTGACAGTCATAGTCATAGTTTTGTGACGGTTGGAGAAAAAATATATTTGTATGTCAAAGATATAAATTTAAAGGAGGTCAAACTTTTCAAATTTTGAAAGAAACTGATGTTATGATGGAAAATACCCCTACCCTCGTCAGAAGTTCCCATTGATATGAAGTTTTTTAACACAATAGAATTATACATACAGGGATGGCCAGAAGTACGGAATAAAATTTATATCTTTCGAATGAGTTAATTTTTTTTAAAACGCCAAAACACGTTAACTGATTTTGATTTTTTCCCATCTTTCGGTTATACAATAATTAATTTTTCTTCAACCCCCTAACCCCCAGCTACCCCTACTTTTTTTTCTAATGGAAACATTAGGCATTAGGGGGCTCGTTGAAAAGCTTATAGAAAACCGAATCCAGCCATACCAAATAAACAAGTTTTATTTTTTCAATAGCAAGGTTTTTAGGGTTGTATAAAGCACCTACTTAAAATACACCTAAATAAAATTTAATTATCTTCAGTGTTATCCTCCATGAATTTGCACAGAATAAAATAAAGAATTTGAAACTGTACCTATCACTGCTATCGCAAAAAATATACATTTTTATGTTGCGTTTTTTTTTACTTGCCAGGCTTTCTGGTTAATTTTTCGCTTTAGTTGTAAACTGGAGTTTGAAACGTTAATATTGTGTCAAAATCAAGTTATTTACTGAATTGCAATGGTATTGTCGGAAAGGCAACGCATCGAAATCTTGATATTGCTTGGATGTGGAGACAAAATAAGAAGTCAGGCTGAAGTGCGCGATTTATTTAATGCGAAATATCCCGAAAACCAAATGTCGCAAGGGACAGTTAGTAAAATATTTCACAAATTTGAGGAACACGGTACAGTACAGACTTTGCCCAAAACTGGGCACGTACTTTGAATGAAGAAAAGAAATTAGACATTGCATTAGAACTTGTTAAAAATCCTCATACTTCAACTGTTTCATTGGCCCGCAATCACGATGCTTCTCGAACTGCAATTCGAATGTTTCTGAAACAAGAGAAATACCACCCCTATAAGGTATGTCTTGTCCAAGAGCTTTTGGAAGACGATTATGATAGGCCATTACAATTTTGCCAAGAAATGATGAGACGGTGTGACAACAATAATGGTTTTCAAGGAGACGTACTTTTTTCGGATGAAGGCACAACTATCGCTTTTGGTCCCAGGAAAATCCACACTGGAGATGCGAATCACATACGCAGCATCCACAAAAAGTTAATGTATCGGCAGGTATCATCAACAACATAATCTTGGGCCCATTATTTTTTGAAGAAAATCTTACTGCCGCACGCTACCTGGATTTCCTAACGTTTGACCTGATACCTGCTCTAGCTGTGATTTTCCCTGATGAAATTGATCCAGATATACCGAATGAAAGAATTTGGTTCCAACAAGATGGCGCTCCCCCACATTTTGTTATTGATGTTCGAAGACACTTAGATGAAATGTTTCCAAATCGTTGGATTGGTAGACGGGGTACAGTTGAATGGCCGCCAAGATCCCCCGACTTAACACCCCTGGATTATTTTCTTTAGGGATATTTGAAAGAAAGAGACTACCAGGACGGACCGGATAATATTGAGAATTTAAAGAACAAGATTCATAAATTACCAGCTGAAGTCATTCAGAATGCTGTGGACAGCATTACTATCGTCTTGGAGAATGCCAAATAGGAATGGAGGACATTTTCAGCATTTGTGACATTGAGTTTATTTTTGTAAATTATCTAGTTGTTTCAATTTCTAAATGAAAAAAAAAACTTGTTTATTTGGCATGGCTAGATTCAGTTTTCTATAAGCTTTTCAATGAGCCCCCTCATGCCTTATGTTTCCATTTGAATAAAAAGTAGGGGTAGCTGGGGGTTAGGGGGTTGAAGAAAAATTAATTATTATATAACCGAAAGATGGGAAAAAAATCAAAATCAGTTAACGTGTTTCGGCGTTTAAAAAATATAACTCATTCGAAAGATATGAATTTTATTCCGTACTTTTGGCCATCCCTGTATACAGTGCTATTTTTTGAAAACCTGACATAGGCTAACTTTTTTATTTAAAGTGATAGACTAGTATTACCAAATGCAAAGTTGTAGGAAATAACTTGATTAAGAAAAATTTACAAATAATTCTTTCCGGTGTTGCCAGATTTCTGCAGTAGCTACTAAAACGATATTTTTTTAAATGGCAACACCGTATTTTTTTAACATAATTTGACAAACCTTCAAATTCTAAATAGAAAATGCTATGTCACATTTTCTTATTGGAGTAGCCGTTTTACAATAATCAACAAAAACAACGAAAATAATATGTAGTCGGCGGGAACTAAAAGAAGCTAACATAGCAATAGTAGGCCTTGCATATTAAACAAAAATTCTGTCGTTTGAAAGGAGCCATCATTATTCTGCTGTCATTGTGGTATTTGACAGTTGTTGTATTTGAATGTGTATAAAAAATAACGTTTTAATTCAGTTGCTAAGATGAGTCAGTTTCATAAATATTCCACAAAAGAAAGTTAAATTAATTTTTAATTCCACGCAAGACATCCCGATACGCCTCTTCCAAATCCAGTTTTTTAAAAATAACTTAGTAAAACTAAAAACAACTGGTAGTTGGTAGGATCTGCCAAAGGCTGAAAATCATATTCTCAACTTAATTATATTATGTCCATTTGGTGCAAGGATTTATTTCAATAATTTTTATTTTTTTTCACAGATGGCAAAACACTCAAAAAATTAGGAAAAAAATGAAAACTATGCTACAAATAAATAACTTTAGACAATATGTCATTACAAATACATTTGTGAACAGCTGAGACAAAATAATCATCAACTTTTAAATTTAGAAAGTAATATTAATAAGAACTTCTCTCTTCAGCATCAAGCAAGCATCAAATCAATGAAAAATGGATCCCCGTCAAACTGACTAAAGTTATATTTTCTAGCTTTTGGCTTCCTGAACAAATGTTACTCGTGGTCATAAGGTCCAAAAGGCTTGTTTGCGGGATACAGATAGTCAAAGGACATGCGATATCACGTGTGAGACTTGACTGCAAGTCAGTTGATTGGTAGGAGACGCTTCTTTGTAAAAGAAATTCTATTTGAAACTTATTGGGTTTGGGACGAGACTCTTTACGTTTTTCCAAACAATCACTGACATGACATTTGTAGATCTTAAAAAATTGCCATTTCTGGATTTCATGACCTGGAGAACTTTTGTTTTAGGGATCTAAACACATAGAGTGACCTACTGTCAGGTCTCATCAATGGAACAAATTTTTTTGCGTTCTGTAGTTATTAAATGAGTATAACAAATGCACTAACCTCATTAGGTTCTGTTGGTACTGAATGACGGACTTCAAATCTCGTACGTATCTGTCAAAGTAGTGTTCGTTTTGGACATCCTCACAATTAAGAGCTTTAATCTTTAAATTCAGTAATCGGAATTGCACCGCAACTAAAATTATGAGAAAACATACAAACACATTCCAAGAGAGGAAGGCGGATGTCGCAACAGTCAGCGTATACATCTCGGCAACATAATAGGATGGATACCATATTTCTGGGGGCACATAGCAGTTAAACACGGATGACCCCCTTACAACTAATGGTTTCGCAGCAAATATCAGAAGGACCAACACAAATGTGTATTTGTAAATATTCTCCACTCGCTTTAGATGCTTCAAGAAAACTGTTACTCGCTCATCGATAATATTCAACTCCCAGAAATTTTCCGTGGCCTCCACAATTTGTTTTATTAGTTTTGGTCGGAATATTAATGTAAGATATTTCGCCATTACCTAAAATAAGATTAAGTTAGGTTAGGTTAGTTAGGTAGCCGCGGGCAGATTAAAGAGTAAAAAAGCGCCGGGAGCAGATGGCATCCCCCCGGAGGTCATTAAAGTGGTTGCGGAAGAACAGGACCTTGTTAAATGGTTTTTATTCGAAACGAGATTTTCCAGACACCATGAAGACTGCGAAATTGGCGCTGTTCCCTAAACCGGGAAAAAAAGGTGTGGAAGCGTCTGATTTTCGGCCAACATGCCTTCTGAATACGATAGAGAAATTATACGAACGTGTAATCGTACACAAATTTAAGGAAGAAATAGACAGATGTGGAGGACTTAGCGAGAGGCAATTTGGCTTTCGAGAAGGAATGTCCACTCTGGGTGCTTTGGAAACAGTACTGGAAACGGTAGCGAGGGTGAATCGCAATAATAACTGGTGTGCGTTGATTTTAGTAGATGTCCGAAACGCCTTCAATATGGCATCTTGGCATCAGATTCTTACGGCACTGCGAACTATGGGGATAAACGGGCATCTACTGAGAGTAATCTCCAATTACCTGTGCAGAAGGAAGGTGATAGTATATAAAGGAGGAACCCGACCAGTACAGAGGGTAGTACCACAGGGATCCGTCCTTGGTCCAACGTTGTGGAACGCTATGTACGATAGTGTACTGAGGGTAGAAGTCCCTAGAGGGAGTGTGTTGGTGGCATACGCAGATGATTTGGCGGCCGTGGTTGAGGGAAGTACGAATGTGGAACTTATGAGAAATGCCAACAACACGTTGAGGAGAATAGAGGAATGGATGGTGCGTCACGGCCTACAAATGGTCCCGGAGAAAACTGAGGCGGTTGTTTTAACTGATATGAGAAGAGCAGCGGACGTTGTTTTCTGCCTTGGAAATAATGACATTCATCTAGGAAGGATAGTGAAATACCTTGGTGTCATAATCAACAGAGGCATGACGTTTGGCGCGCATGTGGAAAGGGCATGCAAGAAAGCGGAAAAGACGGCGTCTGTCGTGGCTAGGATGTTGCCAAATATCGGAGGTCCGAGGTGGAAAAAGAGGCATGTGTTGGCGGGAGTTGTGGACTCTATCCTTATATATGCGGCTCCTATATGGCATAGGGCGACGTCGATCGCGAAGCACAGAACCAGGCTGATGAGCGTGCAGCGAAAAAATGCGTTACGCATCGTCTGTGCGTATAGGACCGTATCGACGGAGGCGAGTATAGTGGTGGCAGGCATAATCCCTATTGACCTCAGAATAGAAGAACGAAGGAAAATCTGGGAGGCCCTTGGACGGGGAATTGAAAAGAAAACTGACATGGACGAGTGTAGAGATAGGGCTTTCACAAAGTGGCAACAGAGATGGGATAGCGAAGGGCTAAAGACACAGTGGACGAAAAGACTTATCACAAATGTGAGAGCATGGGTAAACAGGAAGCACGGTGAAATCAGTTATCAGATTACGCAGTTTCTAACGGGGCATGGAAACTTTGGCTCCTATTTAATGAAAATAGGCAAGACGGATACCGATAGTTGCATATACTGTGGAGAAAGAGACACTCCGGAACATGCTGAGCTAGTGTGTGAAAGGTGGGCGGAGAGGAGAACTAGGGTAGAGGTAGATCTTGAGGTAGAGCTTTCTACGGAGAATGTAATTGGGTTTAGCCTGGCCAGTGAACGGAAGTGGACGATAGTTATGGGGATGATTGGTGACATCATAACAAGGGAAGAGCAAGACCTCAGGGATATAGAACGAAGAGACCCACAGTGATGTAGGGAACATAGTATGGAAACGAACTAGAACGGTGCGGACGGAGAATTGGAGCTGACCAAACTGAAGAAAACCATGAGGTAGTTCCGGGATGGTCGGCGGTATAGGAGGGGTTTTAGCCGGTAAGAGTCCGGCACTATCCAGCGCGATAGAAACTAAGCGATAGAAAAATACAAAATTTTCATAACTGCATCACTCAGCGAAGGCCTCAGCTGCCTCATAATAAAAATCTGCGTTGCAAGCTTAGAACAGAGAGAGCCGACATGAGGTGCCCAGGATAAACTAGGATCTAAAGGCAAAAATAATACACTTGCAGTCACGCATATTGATTGGCAAGTTATTTACGTAAATTAAGAAAAATAATGGCCCCTCACCGACCCCTGCGGCACACTATTTGCAACGGGCAGTATAGCGCAATTACAGTTATGTATTTATATTGACAAATTGCCCTCTATTTGCCAAGTAAGAACCAAAAAGATTCAACGCTAAACCTCGGACACCATAATAGTCAGAAGTACATCAACATTAACGCAGTCAAAGGCCTTGGTCAAGTCACAAAACGTGGCATTCGTTGTTTGGCCATGGTCATCCAACCCTGGTCCCTGGGTTATGGCTTCCACGCCGTCATGGCAATTACAAGTAAAAGTGTTACGGAACAGGGGTTCGGATCCCCAGAACCGGCGGCTGGTCAGGGTGGGAAGGCGGGCCCGCAGATGTCGTCATCCAGCGACCGTAGCTCCGCATTGGTGGGAAACTTGCCCTTTGAATAGTCAAATGCTACAAGTCAAAGATCTTGTAAAAATGACGTTAACAGCTTTTGTATCGTTTGCGGACTGTATACTCCCAAAAACAAATTTAATTTTTCAGATTCATTAAAAAAATATATAAAAGCACATTTAATATTGTGACTGATTCTATTAGCAAATCTTACACACCAAATATCATCTGTGGTAAATGTCATCATATCGTCAACGGAACAAGGAAAAAATATATTTAAAAATGTATAAATCTCATTAATGCATAACATGGTAACAATCTCAATCTGCTTTGAGATGACCTTGAATGACCTCGAGGATTCATGCAAAGTAAAAATAAACACCGGATTCGGATTCAGCGACCTCAAAAACATGTCCATGAATTTTTTTGACCGTTTGATTTTCAAATGACCTTGAACTTGACATGATGAAGCCTAACCGACCCGCTCGTCGTAATCAGCGTCCCCAAAAACCCTAGGATACCATCTTCGATTCCCGTGCAGAAGCCTAGATAAAATGTTGACCTGTGTTATTAACTAATCAGAATAATTGAAGATAAAATTATTTACCTCATCCTATTTCTACTTCTGTCCAATGAACGATGACAGTTCTTATTTTAATTCGTAATAAAGATTTAAATTTCTTTCGCATTAAGTTTTAAAACGATTTTACAAACATAGTTGCTACGATATTGACTCCATTTCTCATGCCGCATTTATTCCCATATTTTTTTTGGATAAGTTGTGAATCATCCTGTATAATCGAGTCTGTTGATTTTCGGATCAGTTTATTGTTTTTTTTTCATTATCCGAACAAAATTGTCGGCTGACAACTATTTATGCACCCTCCTTAAATGTGTATCTTCTTCACTGTTAATTAGACGGAATAACTACTTTGGCCGGCTCAAAGAGTCGATAGAATAACGATGATTTTGCCGTAAGGGAACAAATTTAAAATGTATTGTAAGCAGAAACGACTTTCAAGGCATTTTGTGAAAAATTTTGACTTTTAAGTCAAAAATATCTACCTATACTTGGAAAATGCGAGGATTAATTTAAGGTAAAATACACCTAAATTTAAAATTAGTTTTTAATTAAGAAGAAAAACTAGGCTAATATGTTTCTTAGAAAAAAGAATATACATTTATATCAAAAATTTTTTTTAATTTGCTCAACAAGTATTATAAATTCATAAACGGACATATTAAAACTAATTAGTTAAATATAAACAAATCTATTGTAAACTGTTTGTTTTTTTTAATTAGAACAAAACAAATAATTTGTGTTAAATGGCACTGATTTTTCTCAGTGTAATTCTCGAAACAACCGACTACATTCATTATAATTGCGTATAAATTAAGTTGGTACGCCTTGCGAAAAATAGTGTAAAATATGAAAAATGTGCCTCACAAAGATGACACCGTAAGTGTCAAAATATTTCTTATTAATATATTAACAAATGGGGTGCACTGTACTTACGAGAATTATACAACTAAGTGTTTCCAGGGCTTCTAAATCTTTATCACGATAAAATTGGTACAACGCCATGAATAGGAAGTATATTAATAGAGCAATGTTAAAAATGCAAAGCCATTTTCTTAACGAATGAAAGGGATGTGCTCCAAGGAAGAGAAAATTCTTATGGCAAAATTTGTTTTTCATTTCTATTAAGTAGTGTTAGTTGTAGATTAAGGCAAATGGTGAACAATTTCCACATATTCTTATATATAGTAGGGAATTGTGACCAACGCCCCCTTATTACAGCATTTGAAAACGTATAATTTACGATAATAATCTAGAGAACAGTCAGGTACTATATTTTAGCTCACTGCTCAACTTAATAGTCTTACCTACTTTCATGATAAAAATACCACTTTGAGGGTCGATTCCTGATAATTAGTATCAATTGAACATTATTTTTAGTGCCCTTCTTCTAAACATGTTGTTAAACTTGTGTTTATAAAAAAATATTCAAATAATTTATATATTTATATTCTTGAAGAACATCTCAAACTTAGATCCGAATTTGATGCAAAATTTCTAGTATTATTATATGGAACGTGGGGGTATGAGGTGAACTCAATTAGCATAAAACACCATAAATTTTAAACATAACATATTTTTTGTTCTTTCTGGCTGCTTATTAGTCCTTAATAAATAACCCTAGTTTGACTTCACTGTTTATTTAACTAATTTACGTATTATGAATACAT